GGACCAGTAGACTCCAAGGAAGAAAAAATCCAGAAGGGTCCAATATTGATATTAACATGTTGATATGCATGTTTTGTGTCTTCCCTTGCAGTGCTCAGCTGGCACTAGAATATTGTGGCAAGGTAAGGTATAACATAGGTGATATTTTTGAGAATCTTTTGGCTAGCAGCGGTAAGTGTAAGGTGAGCATGAAGAGTAAGTCATGTGAGAGAGGACGTCAACCTTGTACGTGTGACTCCTTTTGCGCATGCGTCCACCTGATTGAGAAACACAATAAAGTCACCCCAGTTGTGCAGGCTATTTTGTAGTTTTGGTTGTTTGATTAAAAGAGAATTGTAAACCTCTTCATGTGCGCAGAATGGAAAGCTCTACTCGGCCTGAGCATATTAACAAAAAATCATCTATGATTTTTGCTTTAAGGCCGTCGGTTATAATTTTAATAAAAGAAACTACAGGATCGTTTAGTTAAAAAACTGACAGAAGTGATATTCATTTTGTTATCATGCATTGATTTCGTTAAATTCTTAAGGATGGGTATCAGTTCGCATCAACTTTCGGCAACGAAGAGTAGCTGAGTTTCACTTGTAATTATCCGATTTCATTTGAAGTTTTGATCTTAACTTTCCTTCAGGCCGTGAAATTACGTCAGTCTATTTACGGAGAGGAACATCCCGTAACAAAAAAGACACTTGATCTTTTTACCGTCATATATGCTGAGATGGGAAAGGAACAATACACAGGTGCGACTCAGTACTCCAATCATCTTTTACTGGCACTTGACAAGACTAAAAGATCTAATCCCCGTAAAGTAACTCTGCCCAAGTTATTTTTCGATCAATTTTTTTGGAGATGCCTATTATCGTCGGACTTTGGTTTTGGGGAGAGAAACCTTTTTGTGCTATTGATGTTGTCACTCTAAGTTACCTTTGTTTGACCAAAAGCACCTTTATAAGAATTCCAAAGCGATTAACCGTTGGTAATAGAATCCAGCGATCTACTATGCTAAATGAAATGATGAAGAAGTGCACTCCATGTCGTCCCTTAGAACCTTTCATCGATTTTTTTGTTTGTTTGATAGCTCGTTGTAACTTGAAAACTCTTAATTTTTCTCAGTTAGTTCAAGATTTTACTCGACTGTAAGGGTTACCTTATTTTCTTGGATATGGGTGTTCCGCTAGAGCTCCGCCATTACTTTTCGAGATACAAAAACCAAAAGGCAAAGATAGTGGCCAGGGAACGAAGAAGACGGAGAAAGATTGCAGGTGGCGAATATAAGAATAAGTGAATAAATAACAGCTACATTGACGCATATCTCTTTTTAATTCATGTCCTCTTCATCTGTCATTCTCTTATCACAGCTGCCATGCAGAAATTCAACGAAGCTAAACAGGCCACTGATGCAACTGCTGAGGAAGAAGAAAAGACTGCAGAAACTGCTGAGGCTAAAAAAGATGACCTCGCTGAGAACAATGAAACATCGGTAGATGAAACGTCAACCTCTGCTGAAGAGTTACATGATAGAGGACAAGGCACAGTCACGCCTGCAGCTAAAGGTGGCGGTAAGCATTGACGTTTCTTAAATCTTTAATAAAGGACTCCTAGGTCGACATACATATACTACTACGTGGAACTAATATTGAATTAAAATCTAAGTTTACAATTGTGATGGATCATAAGTCCCAACCAACAAAATGCATGTATAATTCAGCTTATCATATGAATAAAATGAATTCCTCTTTTTGTTCTCCATACAGACGAAAAAGTCAGTCTCTCTCCCGGTCAGGCAATGTTCTTTTTCTTTCTGATCACGGCTGCTGTAGCTGTTTGTGTGACACTGTTTGTCTGTCACATAAGTGGTACGGATCCAGGTACAACGTTCAAGTACATAATGACAAGGCTGAGGTTTTACTATTACTATTACGTCAGACGAGCTCCTGCGGGAAACAGTTACTTCTGATATGCGAGAGACGCGATATATCGTGACACTTTGGTCATGTTTGACGACTAAATGGAGACGACGAGGGCGCTAGATGGTCAGAATATCGCCCAATCAGCAATTTACCATTGCTAGTAGTTTGACTACCCTACTCTCTCTCTCTCTGTCTCTCTCTCTCTTCTTACACCTGCTTCTTACTTACGCATTCCGTTTGCCCTCTTGTATAAATTCCCTAGGATACTTTTTCCCACATGTTGCTTAAATTAACTGTTGAGAGGAATAAATAGAGCAGATGGATGTCATGGACATTTTTAAACCAGAGGCTGGTATCTTGTGTTTAGTTTCATTGAGGTGTATTTCTATTCAGTCGCGCTATGAAAAAAGGTAAAGGTAAAACTCATGCCATACGTTAGGCCAATTTTTATCGTAACTTGGCGACAGCCCTTTTTGCGCATTGGTGGAGTTGGCAATTTGGCCGGCCACATGTTTCATTTGGCTTTTTACTCATGCTATGGAAGTAAGTGAAAACATCAGATCCTAGAAACGAGATATTTCATTTAAAAAAATTTTTCTTGGGAATTTTAATCCTCGCCTGAAAACTGGCAAAATTGACGCCTGTTTTTCCAGGCAAAATGGACTCCGGCTGGTATGTCCAAGGGAGGAAACTTTGCGGCATATGATTCTTTATTTCCCGATCCTATGGAGGAATCTCTGTAGTCTTGGGATGACCTTTACATATAGGGCCCATTTACATGGTGTCGGGTATCCGAGGCAACCCTCCCTCAAAGTTATCCTGGCTGGGGTTACTTTCCCTCATGTCTTTGAAAAATTCAATGAACCGTTTACATGAACCCGGGGACGAAACAGTTCGGGAGGGTGGGATGTCTCGCCTTAGCTGGTAGGCCCATATGAACGTGTTGGTTCGCCTGCTCGAGATGGGACGGCTCAAATTATTTCCGGAGCCCGTGTGTTTTAGGTATGCGGAGACCATTTTGAGTAACACTGTTGCACCCTGCCTAGCTGTCACGAGAGAGGCTGGTGAGGAGACAGCTGTTACAACCCACAACTCCACATAAACGCTCCGTAGAGTTGTCTAGAGGGGGAGGGTTATCTCGGCTACCTGAGACGATGTAAGTAAGTCCTCTTTTGCTCTGTCTAGTCGTTTCTTGCCTTACTTCTCTTCGTTATTTTGTTATTCATGGAATATTTTATTGATTATAGTATCAATTGATTGCAAATCAACCTAGGTACGTTTTGAAATTGATTTTCAGCCATTACTCTTGTAAGACAGAGAATGGAAACATAAATAGTAGCGGTGTAAAAGAGGAACTTTATTTTTTGTGTAGCGGTTGTGAGAAATCTGATTTCTGTCGAGACTTATCGAAAAAATGACTTTTAATGCTTCTGTTAAGCAACACAGAAATCCTGATAAATTATTGATTACTTAGAGTGCTTTCAAATATCGATGAATTATTGATCCCTGAGAGCTTTTGCAATAGTAATAATATATTGATTCCTCCGAGAGTTCTTTAAACAACCTCCTTTTAAAGTAAATTGACGCAGCGATGCTATTTTTAGTGTAAAGTGATCTAAGTCTAATTAAGTTAATTGATACGCATTCGAAACCTTTCATCCGATATTCAAAATCGTGAACAGAGAGGCTTCTAACTGAGATCAAAACTTTTTATTACCAAAACCTTTAATTTCTTTAACTGTTTTCACTAATAACACGGGACCCTTTAATAAGCTCATAAAAAACTTGCTGTATTAAAAAAAAAATCATTGAATTAAACAAGATAATCTTAATTGTTATTGTTTATTACCTGTGATCATTTCGCTAAACAAGAGTCTTCTTTCCCGTAAGTCTTTATTTCACATCGAAAAGCCTCACGCGAAGCTTCATTTCTATGCAGAGTAGCAGAAAACACTTCTTCTAATCTCTTTGTTTATATCTCTCTTGAAGAAGGAGTACGCCAAAGGATTAATAGCAGAGTTTAACGTTAACAAAGAGATTTTATACTCCAGATCAGGACAAAATTTATACCGATCGCTGAAAATCACGAAGATACTGCATCGCAGATAAAACCCGTAGCAAACAAGAAATACGGAAATTACAATAGCCATCATTAAGATGGAAGACTTTTCTTGAGTTTTAAAGGAAACTCGATGGTTAAAACTCAACTGTCTTTTCAATGAACGAGCGGTGCGATTTTGTTTAATTACAACACGTAACATCGATACAAAGAAAAATATTAACATCGCACTTGGAAGGAACTCGAAAAATATAGTAATTAACCACATCAAAATGCGAAAAAATAACAACACTTTAAACAAAAAAATCTCTAACGTGTAAATTGTTATAATTGCAGCTGGAATCACCCAGGAAAAAAGAACCATTTGAATGACTCGGCGACGCGACATAAATGCCAAGTACTTTAGAGGTTTTACAACAGCGATGTAGCGATCCAGGACTAAACTGCACAGGTTTGTCACAGACGCATATGCGAAGAAATTCCTCACAATAGACACAAGTATGTGTAGATGGTTGCACATAGTTGCTTTGATACAGACATGCAGTAATGGAAAAGCGCTCATCCCAACACAGAAGTCAGCCACTGCGAGTGAAACAATAAACGCATTGGTTTTAGTTCGAAGTCGCCGTTTGTTGCAAACAAGGCAGATAATAAATCCATTTCCAGTCATGGTCAGAATGGAAAGAGACCAGCCAAGAATCAAAAACCAAGTTTTCATTATCTGGGTGGAAATGGGCTGAAATCATTCACTGAAGTTGTACCAGTGACCTTTTTTTTTTTATTTTCAAGGAAAACATCTGGTCATATGAATCTTCTTAAGTTTCCGTAAATTGACGCATCTAAATGACAAATTGCAAATTAGAGAAGGACCTGTCTAATAATTCAAACACAGCGGGGAAATCGAGTGTAAACGAACTCGGCTATATCTTGATTCCCCGCGCTAGTGGCGAAACAGAGGGGGGAAAGACAAAACAAGAACAAGGGTATTTAAATAGAGAATAACCCATCGTAATCGGCGGGCAAAGCATACGAGATTTTAACACCGTCAAGTCTGTCAGACGTGTCAGTTTTTATCCGAACAGATGAATATTCTTTCGCGATAAAATAAATATTCAAATAGTCATTTCATAAATTTATGTTAGAAATTCAAATTCACCTAAAACTTTTATCACACGCACCAAGAGTTAGCTGGAATATTCAGTATTGATTGAACACTGATTGGTTCTCGCGTTTGAAGGTCTGAATATTTACTCTACACAAATGCATATTCGCGTAAAGAGGGAAACTAAACATTCAAACAATCTCCTCAGACTTTTACAAACACACAATATGCAAATCTACCTGTCTCTCGTTCTGTCAATTGCAATCTGGGCGCATCCAATTCAAACAAGTGATCCGCAAAAAAATAATTTGGTAAACTGAGTTCTTGATTGGAAATATAAATCCAAATATTAATTAGAACACCAAAGTCGGACATTTAATTCATAGTATTTCGACTAAACAGTCGCCTGCGTATCCACTAACAGTTAATCGACCGATATCCACTAACATTTAATCGACCGACGATCTGTCTTCTTGGAACCTGCTGCAAACACCCGGGGGTGGTTCACCCACTCACCAGTTCCGTTTTCAAGACGGCCGCCGACGAAACCAAGCTGTTAACACCACTCAGAATCTCTTTCGTACGGATAATATTTGAGATTTAAAGAGGAAAAGGCTTAGAAATGTTGAGTGTAGAGAGAGCTATTGTTACTAGTAAGGACTGGATACAGTCCTTCCAGTATTTCTTCAGTTTTCCTGACATGAGAGAGGTACTATTACAAGATTGATGGTAAGAAGAAGGAGTATAACCCAAGAACACAACACAGTGGTCCAACTTGTAGTCATACTAAATTTTCCATCTTAAGTCCTGGGTATTTATGCACTTGTGCTTATTGGTTAAGTGGGAGGGCCGAACGGGAAAGAATTTGAATCATGGCCATGACGTACGGACCGAGCGCAGCGAGATCCGTGCTTCATGACCGAGCAACATTCATTCATTCACTCTGACGAAGGGTTAACACCCGAAGCGTCAGCCCAGAAACTCTTTACGACGGCCAATTTACAGTATCACCTCAGTCAGTGAAACCAAATTATCTTGTTTTACCCCGCACTAACTCAGCACCGCGGTGTCTTTAGAAACTTACGCCTTTTATTCCTAAGTCCGGAATAGTTTGATAATATTCAGTATTAACAGCGTTGATTGATTTGTTCTTATAAATAGTTTCACGATTCATGATGGTTCCGCTGACAGTTATAAAAAAAACATATTTCAATGTTCAGTTTAGGAATTACTTTTGCACTGAGAAAAAAATCCGCCTTAGCACAGTAGTTCAAACGTTATTCGCGTGCAGCAAATGATATAGCTTATGATTAATTAGCTTCTAGAAATGATTGATTTTAAGAGCTAAAAAAATTTCTTGATTTTGATATCATTCGCTAAAGTAACTACTAATTCGAAAATAATCTCCCTCAGAACATCAAACTTCATCTTTGTGAAATTGCAATACAACAGAAAAGTATAGTTTTAAAAAGCCATTCTCGCCCCAGTAACTTTTCTACTGTGATTCGGATTATGCCCAAATTCAGTAGCAAAACATGGCGATTAACAAACTGACAACCTCCCAAAGCTTCATACATAGAACTTGTTGTCAGCGACTGAAATTCATTCTTTCATTTGCTAAAAGAAAATCTGCGTTTCCGTATCAAGGAAACAGATTGCAGGATCTTGCAAAGAAGTTTTACAGTTTAACTGAGATCTATAGATCTCAAGGGAACTGAGTCGTTTGATATCAACGATTTACTTCCCGGTAGAGGTTTCAAAGGACGTTTAACAGTCACTGCTACATAAAACTAAAGTTTACCGGACATTTTGTCTATACAACTGACAAGTAAACGTTCGAAATGAAACATCAATTTCGCTTCTCTGTACAAAGTTCCACCAAACTGTAAAGGTAAAAATAGTGAGCAACCTTAATTTCATAGCTGATCACTTGGTAGAAGTGCAAATTAATTCAAAATTCAATGGAAAACGAGTAAGACAAGTTAGTAACGAATATGGCAAGCACTGCTTATTTCGACTTCTAGCTCTTAAATAAATTTCGACTCAAGTCATTCAAGTTCATTTTCTATTTTCAAGGAAACATTTGTTCCATATTGGTCCATCGTAACCCCATTTCATGACTTCCTCAATTACGGTATTCTCACATTGCGTGTAGTATTTACAGTGCAATAATCACAGCACGCTTTCTTGGCCCCTTAAATCAAAGTGGTTGGTTATAGAATGTGATCAAACCCGATAAATAGAATGTAAGGAAGACTAATTACGCTCGTATTGTTCTAAATACGCAGTTCACTTCATCCAGCTAAGGGCAGGCCAAGGCTGTCTTCACTAAGGCCAGATTCCCTCAGAAAATCCCCTTCTACAGCTGATTCTCCACTTTGGCAATTCTCGGCGTCTGTGTCTAAATCCCGGCAATTTCATTCTGCAGCCCGTTGGCGAAGGAAAATCTTGTCACGTTTAGCTGTAATCCTTTAAGTTATCTTGCAGTAAAATAAAGCAACACTAGAAAATGCGTTACTCTCCCTTGCTAACAATGTTTCGCAAGCGAATGTTTATTAGTCAGCGAAGCAGCATCACGATCCGAGAGAGCTCGTGAGGACCCGAGGAAAGTTGGTGCTAGCAAGCACTTCGCAAAAAAATTGTTGCGAGCGGGTAACAAATGAAATTGACTCCTTCCCTGGCCTAGCCATACATCACCCAGTGCTTGGCATAAATTATTTCAACGAGTGACCTGCGTGCGGCTTCTGCAACTGTTTTGCACCTTAGTCACTGTCCTCGTCGCTATCACCGTCCTGTTGTTTATGATCCGGAGGAGGTTGAAGTTTGTCAAGCTCATGTTTTAAGAGCGCAGAATTCTGCTTCAGTGACTGCACGTGATGTGATATAGCCCTACCAACCGGCCGGCCTGACAGTAGGCTCTCCGTTTCTTTTGTCCATTGCTCACACTGCTTTAGTATTTCATCTTTCTTGAGGTAAAAGTGCGCTTCAATAACCTGTGGATGATAGAGTGTTAGCAAACAGGAAGTAACTCTTAAACCCTGCCATTGGTTAACGTCATTTAAGGTCTTACGTCATATAATTTTCGCCGCTTGTTGCGACGAGGAAAAGAAATAACGAAAACATTAACGATTCCCTCTTTATCAAATGAGACAAACGGGACCGAGTTTTGAGTGATATAACTAAGCCAAGACTGCCACCGTCATTTTGGATCTCTGCCTGGGTAGATTTTAGTCACGTGCTAGGCAACGTATAATCAATAAAAAGATTTCAGGCCTATTTATCAATTTTGTGGTATGTAACTTTCGCATTTTAGTACGTAATATGTATTTTGAATCTTCAAATTTTCTTGAAACGTAAAAGAAAATTGTTCTTTAAAAATTCACTGAAAATCGGTAGCTAAAATTGTTTGTTTAGGTATTATTTGATTTTCGCGTTAACTTGTAATTTCGTTAGTCTTCGGCATCTTCTGTTGCTTCAAACAGGAAAAACACACGATACGAAACGTAATGATCGATTTTGTCCTCAATATCACGCCGTAACAGAAAAAGCTTTTGAACATCTGTAAACTCCGAGCGCTTCGCAGTAAGTGAAATTTTCAATGAATATTCGGATCGTTTTCAAGTTCAAGGATTGTAAATTACAATGTTATGAAAAACGAGGGTTGTTCTGTTATTTCAGTGTGAATCCTTGCATGCCTGCCAGTCGCTGGCACCGCTTGTTGAAACTAAAACAAAAAAAAAAACTTTTAAAATTATCATTGGCTTCTTTGTCACCCCACCACTATTCTTAGCAACAAAGGTCGCCATTTTGTTTGTTTATTGCTCGCCAAAAACAATCAAATGCACTCAAAAGCCTAAAATCGGAAAAAAAGTTTACAGGAATCGACCAATCAAGCGAGCGAGTGCCATTCCCCACATCGTATCTACAACTCGCTCTTGCGCATGCGCGCAATTCACGGGTTAAAAATGGAAAAAAGATACGCTAAAAGTATGGAATGGTTACGTACGGACCAATTTAAAAAAAATCAAGGTTTCATTTTTCAAGAAAAGCCGCTGATGAGCCCCCTTAATATTTTAACATGTCTTAAATTTAACGAGTCAAAAATATGGCGCAAACTGAAAATGTTGGGTGTCGTTTGTCTTTCCCATAGCAATCTAAACTTCGTGTAATGATGTGTAAAATATTGTCTTTTTGTAATATTTTAGGTTACGCCCTTTAGTGATTTACCTATCTGCAACACAGGGAGGGTGCAAAAACGTTGCAGTTGTTAAACCGAGGCCAAAGATGAACCTAAGATTCTATGAACAGATGATGAACACTCGGTAGTTTTCGAAACGCCTCAACGAAATGGTCCAGACTACACCTACATCCGACCGTAACTGAGTTGAGGAAATATTTAAGTGGAAAAAGTGACATCTCAATCTCACCTTTTTAAAGCAAGGCGATGGTTTCCTCAATTGTTCCAGCATGGCCCAGCGTACAGTGGCTTGACAAATGTTCGCATCATACTCCCGCGAGTTCTGCTGTCCAGCGGGCGTCCCCCTAGATCTCTCGTACCCAGGCTCGTTGAAGTAGGGCTCGTTGACGAGAATGAGCGACTGGATTGACACCAGGACCTGAAACAAGAAGGAATTTATTCAACATGCTCATCTGTTACACGAGTTGTGGCCTATGTCACGGCCATAAGGTATAATAATTTTTCGGAAAATACTTAAGATACTGTCCAAAGACGTTCACACCTGAAGGAAGCTTGAATTCTGTGGATTCCACTTCTCCTCTGGTCGTCCATGCCACGTGTTCAATATACTCAAGCATACCTAATGAAAGAAAAGGGACATAAAACTAATCAGCAGGGGAGGGGTGAATACTGTACGTAAACTAATCACGAACAGTCCTAAACGTCAATCCCATGTCTTAGACACCTCACCCACTATGAAAAAATTCTGCATACGAGACTGACTCTTTTAGCAGCCGAAGCATTTCCCAGTTTTAGTAGCAAGAAGGAATTAGGAGTATTGCTATTCTCATTGGATGTGATGCCAGTCTACAGCAGATTAACTGCCCCTTCCCCCCCTACATTTCGCCAGGTTTCACTGAAAGTTTGCCAGCTCTCATTCCTACTCCTTACTGGACAATGGCACCATGAGAGTTCAGTATCTTACTAAAAAAACACAACACAAAGACAAGGCTTGCACGCAACTGTTCAGCTTCTGTCCCAAATATTTCAAAACTGCGAGGAAATGGAGACGACATAACTATCAAATTCTTGAAAGTGGACTCAACAGCGTAGAGGAATGTGGAAAGTTGCCAACTCGTCAAGTTGAATGCCATGTTACTAATTAAGTTAAACAAGACTGTTAGTTACACGGTACCTTTCCATCATTGTAAAGATTCGGATTGAAGCGAATACTGTGGTGCCCAGTGGTTTCAAAGTTTATGTGCATCGGCGATTCCGGGTAGTTCTGTGGAAAGTATACATCAAACTCGAAACAGCCATTGGCGTATGGAGTATCAGCTGGGCCGGTAATAAGAACCTAACAAACATATAAACAGCGTTTTTAATACTCACGGTGATTAGGGTGGAATATCTCTTTACAATGTCATTACTCTATCTGGGGTGGGGTGGGGTGGGAGGGTGGGAGGGTGGGTTGCATATTTTGATTCAGAAAATTAAGGAATTTTTCTCAACTATTTAACCAAAACAAGCTAAGAAATATTTCAGCACAAATAAATTATACGCACTTTGTATTGAGAAGTAACGTGAAATCCTGTCCTTGCAAGAAATTTAGAGTCAAACGGGTAGTAAAAAAAAAAGAAAAAAGAAAAAAAAAGCCACATTCCCCTGGATCTACCAATGTTCGTTGAAAATACTATGTAACCTTACTCCGAAAACGGAAGGCCCTCGTCCTTCTGCCATTCGTCATCACTACGCTTGAATGTATGTCTTGACAAAGATTCATTATTACCTTCATGACATCCAGTCGCTCTTTATCACAACGGACAAATACGCTTGAGCTGCTGGACAGCGGAAGGGACGTTGCAAGAGACGACACTTCCTGTGCTAGCCGCCGAGCCCGCACCATGCTTCCGCTGCCACCCGTATTCACCGTTGACCGCACCGAAGACGCAAAGTGGTAACCGCCAGGTTCAAACTCTAGTTTTCCGTCATCTTTTTCAATCACAATCCGGTGAGTTCCTATCAAGTTTAACAAAGGTTTGACTTTATAACCCAGTCGTGTCTTATTCAATGAGAAAATCTTGACAAGATAAACGCAATAAAAACTCTCCTGACTACCGTCTGATTGTAATAGTTGCTTTCACGACCTTGCCTAAAAACTAAACGAAACGCCCATGGGCCACACTCACCAAACTGAAGCGACCTCATTTTGGCTAAGTACCTCTCCTCGGCAGAGAGGAACTCCACCTGTTCCTCTGGCCCCTTGCCGCCTCCTTCCCCTTCCTTGTTAGAAGAGGCTTGTTGCTGGTGAAATTCGTGCACTACTCTCTGCATCAACTTAGCAGTTTCCTGGATGTCAGGTATCAACAGGGCGAGTCCCTCAGCCTCCTGGTCCTTCTTTTCTTCGGTGTTACCTGGTTTAGATGAACTTGGTAGTCCTGCGGTACTAGGTCCCGCAGAAGTACTCGGTCCAACTGAAAACAACGAGCTTCCTGCACTGCTTGATGTTGCTGAGCTGCTGGATTCCCCTTTAGAACTTGGTTCGGCTGTGGTACTCGGTTCTGTTGAGGCATTTGGTTCTAAGCTAGTGGTGCTTGTTACAGATGAATCTTCCCTTTTTCCTTGCGTAGACCTGAAGAAATAGTTTGTCCAAGCTTTGGTTTGACTACATTGAAAACGTCTCCTTTGTGCCTATACACGAAACACGTGACCAAACGAATTGCACCGCGTTCGCCCCCTATCGAGTTCGCCCCTACCTTATGCCGTGTTCGCCCCCACACTTTTCGAGTTCGACCCCATCAAGTCGAGTTCGCCCCTTGATTGAGTGATATCCAGATGAGTTGATTTGTGACGAAGGCACTAGCAGAATGTGCCAAATGTCACGTCAGCGACGACCATTTTGAATTTCGGCAATTGCGTGGAACCTGCTTGGGAACTGGGTTGACGGAATCAACTAAATACTCTGCGTGGGATCTGGGGTTACCAGAAATAACTGTGTACACTGAACTTGTGATAGAGAGAACCACACTTAATCAAAACAACATTGCTTAACTTAACTTGTTTGCAATGTTCGATAGCAACTAATTTAGACATGACTCAATCTGGGGGCGAACTCGACTTGGTGGGGTCGAACTCGAAAAGTGTGGGGGCGAACACGGTATAAGGTAAGGGGCGAACTCGAAGGGGCGAACTCGATAGGGGGCGAAAGCGGCGGATACCGACAAAACAACGGCTGCGAAAGAGTGAGTGCCGAGTGACCCGACGTAATATTTGTACCTATGCATCTCACTTAGGTCCGCTAGAAAATCAGTTTAAGTAGCTTTAGATTTGTCTTTGGAGGGGTTTCATTAACTTCAGAAATCCATGGATAAAACTCACACAACATTCGAAATATCAGTGGAAAACTTGAAAGTAGAAGATTAATTGATCAATATTCCCTTTTTTCTCACTACTGTCGCAAAAAAAAAAATATTTTGGCTTTTTTGCTGAAATATCAGAAATGTTTTGCTGGTATCCACGTCTCTTTTATCCAAAATATGGAGCCCAAAAAAAACAACAACAACAACAATTTCATACCTAGAATAAGTTCCTGTTATCGCTCGAGACAGTTACCTTATGTTGTTCTTTGAATGAAACATTGCTCGATAGCTTCCGGTCCAAGAGTAAAAAATGGGGATCCCTCCACACTTATTAAAAAATTACTTTTCCAGCCTAAGTCCTTACTACAAATTGAAGAGTTCCCGCTTATCTTACCGCAAAGTTCTGGAGTAAGTATCCACACATTGTTTCATCTTGTCCAGCAGGCTAACAATAGAAGGCGCCTCTGTGGACGCTCTCTCAACGGAAAGGCCATTGGCATGCGGGAGTAACAAAGGTAAGAGGACTGGGCACAACGCGAGTGCACGGAGTACTTCTAAAACAGCCTGGTACAGAGGAACATGGCGAGCCATATCAAGAACTGTTAAAAAAAAAACAACAACAAAAACGGTTAAATAACAGGGAAAAAAAAGGTCGTGAAGTTCTCAACATTTTTCCATAAAACCAACAAAGTTACACAGATTTGCGACGTTTACTAAGAAGTAAATCTTGAAGCAAAATTTAGCACAGAGGGCCACTAGTTTATTAGTCATACTGTCCGGCGTGCGTGACCCTTCCTGAATAAAGTTGCTACTTACTTACTGTTACTTACTGACTAATTTTCATACTGCGACAGGGAAAGTGTACTGTCCTTGTTTCAGATTTAGTTCTGACACCGGTAGAAATAATGGAGAGGTCGGATAAACGTCAAACTCTGAAGTTGAATACAACAGGTCTAGTAGTTCCCATTACTCTAACGATCTTAGGGCTTGCAGCTGATATTTCGGAGATTTTGCTCCTAAATTTGAGAGGGAGGTTTTTGTTTTATGTCATTCTTCTCATTGCTTCGATAATTATCATTTATCTTCTTTTGGTTTTTTCCTTTCTTTTTCCTTGCAGTAAGGCAGTAGTGGGCAAACTTGCTTTGATTTTCTAACTGGAAAAATCCAGTCTTGCCTGCGTACATACCAGAATCATTCCTTAGGTATGATGAAAGAGCAGGGATTAGACATGACTCTCCGAACAGCTCCAGCAAAACGACAACAAATGGATATGGACCGCCTGCCCCTAAATACTCTGCAAATGGCTCTGAGTGCGAGTCGCTGTGTTTTCCAAAAGGTCTGATATAACTCGCAAGTACCTAGGAAGGAAAAGAAAAATTTTTTTTTCAGTCAGCACATAAATTCCCTTTAGTTTTAAACATGATTCAAACCCATGGGCGTCTGTAACCCCGAGTCAATCGGCTGGTCGGTCATCATCTGACCTACGTATGGTTTTCATCCTCGAGATTGAAACATTTTTTGTGTTCTCTCTACATTTTGATTTTAATTTCAGCAAACTGTGTGCTCCATATAAACCTCTGCGTCTCAATACTAAAATAAGTCTGATGTTCTAAAGGAGTTTTATCTCAGTGTGTCACCGCCAGAAAATACTCCATTCGAAAAGTACAGAGAGAGCTGGATCGATTCATACCTTAAAGGTCAGCTTAAGGTCCTAAACGGAACGGGAACAAACGTCTCGAAGTAAAAAATCCCTTGCTGCACACAAAATTAACTGGGACAACACACGGAAAAGTTTAAATCGCCCCCAAAGCAAGCTCTTTGCGGTTAATTCTACCGTCATTACCTGCAGAAGGCAAGTGACATGCTCCTCTTCAGCCTTCTGTTTTAGCATGGCTTGTTCAACATCCCACCCTGACGACGTGGATCCTGTACCAAATCCTGTTCCTTTGGCCCAGTAACTCCTCTCACTACCGGCTCCAACATCACTGTCGCGGCAAACACTACAGATCCATACAAATTTGAGTAAATCACCGAAACAATCAGAGATAAAAATTCGAAAAGCGCACAAACGAGCGACCTACTGTAGGAAAAAATTAAAGAATGCTTCTTGATTCAGTGTCCTCGACCAAAACCAAATCAATACGAACACAGAGAAATGCCGTAAAAGGCCAATTAGAATGCAAATAATCGCACTTAACAAGCTTCACGCGCCATTGCTTTCTACTCGAATTTGACGGATAAGGTGGCGCAAGATTGGACGTGCACAAACTTCAGAGCAAATTTGAGCAATATCAAAGAAATCCGAAACTACTTTTGAAACTCAGAATAACTAAAAAATTGTTCCTGGTCAGGGTTGTCATTTGAAAATTTAATAGGTGTACGTTCTGAACTGAGTGGGTGGCTAAATAAAATTATGCTTGCATAGCAACATGGCGTGTTGCAAAGTAACACACCCTGCTAAGGGTGTCCGTGGGCATACCCTCTCGGAAAAATCCGAAATTAAAACTCTCGGAGACGTGATTTCCAGCATTCTATTCTGGGGTATAATTGAGTAATTTTTTTGCCAAACAATGATACATCGATGATAGAATCAGTTTAAAAAACCTTATTTTCTATAATTGAATGTCACACAATTCACAAAGTGGAAAGTACAAAATAGTCTAACATCCGAAAGCCGCCGCCTACAAGCTTCTAATGATACGCCTACAGGTATGAGGATGAAGTTTTCGCTATACCTGCCCGTTAACGCAGACAAGGCCTGTAAAGCCATCTTGTGTGAGTGATTAGTGGCTCGCGGTTTGTGATGACTCAGTACAGCTAGACACAGTAGCACCATCTGGATCGCACCAACTTCTACAGCCGCCTTGTGCACAACGGCGCCTTCTTGTGGCGAGAGCTCACTGCTCTGAAATAAGATCCTTAACACATGGAATGGTAGCGTGGACAGACAACTGGCTGCTGGAGATGACAAGATAGGTTCTGGGAAGAGCATGAGAAGACACGATAAGTTAAAGAAATAGGTATTGATTGTTAAACAATACTCCTTGTCGACACCTTAGGATCTGTTTAGAGAACAGTTTGGGGAATATGCATACTGCATAAGGGTTTTAAGGGTTATAAAACAATTGCTTGTGATTTCTTACAGACTTAATGACCGAGTTAATGACCCAGTGACCGACAAATTCAGTGACTGACTCACTAAGTCACTAACTCAAGGACGGACCGAGACACTGACTGATTATTTGACACAATGATTCATACCTCCATTCCCATCCTGTTTGGCCCCCAGAAGCAGCCTCAGAAGGTAGCGAGCCTTGAGACGATCTTTAAGCAGAACTTCATTGTATCCAGGAAGGCGAATGAATAAACCAAAAGCTACAAGTGTATGTGCTGGAACAGCGCTTAACACTGAGGCAGGTATGGACACTAAAGGCAACGGAAGCTGCGTCGGGTAAGAAGGCACCTGTTTATCACTGCTGTCACCCTCAATTACCTCCGTTTCAGTATCCGGAGCCAGCGAGGAAGGTGTTATAACGTGGCAAGGGAGATGCATTGATAACTTCACTAACCCATCCTGTTTGGCAAACACATCCAACGGGGTTAGCAACGGCGCAGAATTAGTAGAATTGTCTTCTGTCTTTCCATCTTGAGTCTTACACGTCACTTCAAGGTAAGATGTACCACAAGGTAGTCCTTTGCTCATTAGATGCTGCAACAACTGAGCCACTGTCCAAGACTGCGGCAGACACACGTTGCCGAGTATATCGTGATAAAATGAACACGACATGCTTTTACTTTGATTTTGACTCTGACCATTATCCGGATTATTTTCCTTTACTGTTGACGCTTCACTTTTTTCAGCTCTTTTGCTTTTCACGTTCAGTCCTGCAGCAAGACTAACAGACTCAAGAAATTCAAACCCTTCGTATTGGCTAAACTCGCCAGGATCAGCCATCCCCTCCACTGCAGTAGGTTTGGGGAACTTTTCCTCCAAAGTTGTCTCGACTGGTTTGCTTACTTTAGGACGAAGAATCTGTTCACTAAGTTCGTGAAGAGTTGTGGAGAATTTTGCAGAAAGTAGTGCAAATGAGTGTCCTGCTCCAAAGCGAGGATGCCAACCATCTTTATGAAAGAAATCAAATCCTCGCATTGTTTGTAAATTCAAATCATTCTCAACGTGCACACAGATAAGTACAGTTTCTTCTTCCAGCAACATTTGTAAGATCAACTGTCGTAAAAAGCCGTTGACTTGTGTCTTCACATTGGTTTTCATGTCAATTGATCCATTTTCAGAGTTCTCTCCACCAATGGTTTCAACCAAGAGACTCGCCATCCTTTCTTGATTTCTGAGATGAAAATGAACACAGTTGCATAACAGATCTACCGTTGCAGTTTCCATCGCAAACTTAGTGTGGCTGGGAATAGAAGGAACTACGCCTGGTGGGCCAAAAAAAGGGTTACTTTGGACATGTCGTCCTCTGCAGAGCTGTGAGAGAAGTAAAAACCACAACTGGTAGCCTGTTTCACCCATCCAATCCTTAATGGCTGGCTCCTGGGAACAACAAGTTAAAAAGTTTAGAAGGTGTGGAAGAAGGTCGATGGACAAGTTTGACTTCGGTAGTGGATCCACTGTTGACGGATGTTTGTCCAAACCTTGGGAATTACCACCTGCTTGACAGAAGTCCACGATAACTCCTGCCATCATTTTAAGTAAACCCGAATTTAGCAATAGTTGGCTCGTGATAGATGATTGGCTTGCTGTAGCCAGTGTTCCGAGTCGTGACGGAGCTGTCAGAAGTCTTGACAGCCCACCACCAGTTTTGCCACTTTCCTTGTTCCATTCGTCGAGGAGTTCCTTGACTCCAGTGAGTTCTAAAAGCACTACATAATAAGCTGGACAAATGTACGTCAGAGCACCAATGAGATGATCAATACTCTGTTTCAGGAAATCTTCATCAGAGGAAGCTTGTGACCAGTCAAAAAGAGATCTGAAAAGTTAAGATGCAGGTTTACCAAATGAGAACGCAACAAAGGATACAAATGTAGTACTCTTGGTAAGCTATGCAGTTCTTGCAACCGATCCTTTACTGTCCCCGACTTAACCCTTTAACTCCCAAGATCTTAATGTTAATTCTCCCTTCTAGCTGCTACACATGTCCTTGCAAATTAGGTACAAGAATTTGGTGTTAGATCAAGAAAGCGACTTTTACCTGAGAAATTTGAATATTCTCATTACCTGTTTGCTAGATATATGTATGGATATTTTAGGGCGAAGTTTCATGTTAATCACTTCTGGGAGTTAAAAGGTTAAAGCGGCTTTGACACCATAGATTCCATCATTATTTCCGTAATGAAAACTTCCGTTAGATCGAACGGAGGCCTAAAAAACCTCAACTGCCGGGAAGAGAAAGCCAAAACGAAGATTTTATAGGAATACAAAGCTGGACGGATTGTAAATGGCCAAATTGGGAGTAGCCCCTCTCATTTGTAACTCTGTCGCTATTCTTAAACAAAGAATAAACAATGATATAATAGATCATTTGTGGCTTGCTTGTTTATGGCAACATCAGCCAAACCCTAACCTCTTCCCTTTGAGAAAGGGTTTACAACCATACATTCAATCCTAGAGACGCAATGTGGGGTCTCAGCTGAAACAACATGATGACACAAGCGGGACTGCTCATAACCAAAGAAGTTTGGCCCTAGCGTAACACACACACACACACACACACATACACGCACGCTACGACAACAGGTCGTCAAGAATTAACAAGGATTCAACGACAGATGATATATAAACCCCTCAAAAGTACGTGATCTTCTTGCACTAAACAAAAACATAGGCATGCTAAGCATGCAAGAGTTATTTTTTGGGGGTGGGTGGATTATTGAAACATTGTAAGTAATGTCTAACTTCTAACAAAAGGAAAGAAGAGTATTAACGCGGAAATAACGAAAATGTCGAATTAACTCATACACAGGTATTTTGTGGTATATTGGATATTTTGTGCGAATAACTGTAACCTAAAATAAACTGTATTGGTGCCACGGATACCTTTTAGTACAAAATGCAGACTGCAGACTGCAGACCGGATATAAGATGTAGATTAGGTACAAAATGTAGACTGTAGACCGCAGAGTGGGTACAAAATGTAGACTGAGAATTTAAAGAGTTTTTTCGTCTGGTACGTGACAACACGTCATCTTGTAACTTACCGAGCGTCACGCAATCGCTTTTCGGCGATCAGCTTTCACGATTATTTGCATTATTGTGGAATATTCCTGGCCCATTTCTTGATGAAAATAGATCGTAATATAATTTCAAGCCTTCACATAGTCTTCTCACTTTGCGCGCGAGTTGGTTGGTGTGATGTCTGTACAGATTTTACCAACGTAATAACAGCAGATGTAGATGTAGATGTAAATAAGATGTCACTATTGAATATTTAACACGCGCAACATTCGAGAAACAATTAACAGCTTTGCACATGGTCCGTATCATTATCTTTTTAAGCGGTATGTGTTTATTTTGTTGACAAAAATGCGGACCAAGACCAAAACTGTTCCTTCGACTTGATATATTTTCGACGTTAGTAGATCACATCATATTAACTTACCTCCGCAAATCATTCATTCCAGATAACAAAATCAAATAAACATGCTAACGATGGTATCTAAATTCGTCCTTGGCACAACACAAACGACTCCACAAGACCACTTTCTCCAAGCATCGAAAACATACACAAAATCGTCCATAGTTAATTTTAATCAGACATTCATCTAGAAATAGCACCGAGCAATCAATCCAGAAAAATATAATCGGCACACTCAACAAATCATGAATCTTGCAACACAGCTTGCCGTTAAAGAACTGCTCAAATCAAAATGTTTGGTGCACTTCATCAACACCTCAAGCAATATTTGATTCAAAATGTTTCCACTCCCTCTCGTCGTGAAGGAACAACAACCATGATCGTGCTACAGTGCACAGAACTCCATTTTCTCTCGAACAACTATCTATCATTTTTACAGCACGAGTAACAAGTTTACTATAGGTAATCTGATATCTTTCATCTGTCCAGTAGTATCGCATTTCTTATAAAGCGTGGTAAAATACACGTTAAAAACAAAGAAAAGCTAACATTTCTCATTCTAAAAGATGATTCTATTTTATGAACCGCTCTCTCCGAATCTCCCATAACTTCGTTGAAATTTGAACACCTCTCAAACCAAAGAACAAAAACGACGCTCTGATTGGTGCGAGATACATAACCTAATGCGGCGATCTGACTGATGCGAGATACATACCCTAAACGATTTGATTGGTGCGAGCAACATACCACTCTCTGTACGCTAACATAGATTATTTTTTAATAAAAAAAAACTCAAAAAGGGTACAAGCAAACTTCTAATTGAAGGTAAAACACTCAAGTCTAAATGAAACACACCTGAAAAGCTCTTCAGAAAAGTATTGTTTCACAACTGACTCCGAGTTAGTTTCCTTTGCATTCCAGATGACAGCAGCCACAGACTGAATATGCCCAGGTGCCGCGTGGGAAGAGGTTGACGAGTCACAGACGGACCGTAACCAGGACGATATCACTAACAATCTACAGGAGGAAGACAAGAACTTCGTGATCAATACACAATATATTTATTGCAAAACCGCTTGAGCTTACAGAGCGGGCGACCTAACGTTGCCTTTTAGTAATATAGCCAACAAGGTCCTACAGTTTGGTACTCTCTTCCTGTTTCAGTCACTGGTTCGTCAAACCTTCTTAGCTTTAAGACGAAAATGCAAGAGTTTTTACTCAAATAATCACTTAATTGGCCAAGCCGCACGTAGGGAGCACTTTCTCTTTACTTGATCTATTATTGTAAGTGAGGTGGCTCTCCCATAAGCGCGCACATTATTGATTGACTTTTGCCCACGATGATGTAGCACTAGTTTTGCCCAATCAACACTCGGCTTGCCATACCTGTCTTCGTATGAAGAGTCCTGTTTCTTTCCCAACTGGTATATAAGTTCCAGTGTAGCGACGCTTACCAGCGGCCCTCTCTTTCTTCCCTTCTCCCCTGGGCATTTTAACAGTTGTTTCATTAACATGGTGCCCAGTTCTGGAAACTGCTTGGACAACTTCATGAGCACCAGTTCTAGACAAGCAGAGTGACCACTGAAACGGAAAAAAGCCATCACCGCCATTTTAAAATGAAATTAACTTGCTAGTTGATGTATTATGCAGCACTGAAATATGAATTTTGAGTCTGTGATAACGAAAGTTTTACTAAAATATCACTCTACCGCTTCATGTCCTCCAGAATATCAAAATTTTCCATTATTCACGGCAGTTCAACGGAAGTAATATGAGTAGATTTAAATTCATGTTTCATTTCAACATGAACCATCTTGCTAATATAACCATAATTTTATTATATTACGGAAATCCCCAATGAAGTTTGCTTTCGAAGATCACACAGAAGTGAAACGAGACGAGAACATGACGATTAAGGAGAACTACCCTTGGTCACCCAAGACATGAATCGATTGGCACAGCTGTTATAATGTACAAACTGTGGAGAACAGTTCGTTTGAACCCTTTTCATCTTCAAATCAGTATAGTTACTCTCTATACTGTTCTCCGTACATTTTCCAAGGTGCCGACAGGGAGAATTTGTTTTAAAATTAAAAGCTACTTCTGTTAGTGATCATTTCCTTTACTCTTGTGACCTCTCTGTGTGATTCAGGGGTGACACTGTGAGGAGAAATTAGATGCTGGTCACTCTAACATCTCTTTTCTACATGTACTATTTTACAGACGGTAGAAACGTAGTCTTAAAATACAAGTTAGCTCCCCAGACGAAGTATATATATTAAAAAAAAAAAAAAGAGAGTTCCAACCTTCGTGGCGATAACAGCAGGGCGATACAGTTGCTAAACACATCCGAGATCAGCGTCGAAGGTTCTTTTGTCTCCTGATAAAATTCAGGTCCTTGCGAGAGGCACTGACCAAGTAACTGTACCCAGCCGAGGCTAACAAAAAAATTAAACAAAACATGAGTAACTGTCATACATCATTTCATCGCTTCGGAATGATACCTTTGGTGTGATGAGCGATTCTGTGATGGGGAGAGGATGGCCTTATTCAATAACATGACAGATTTAATCAGTTGGTGTTTGAATCCCTTTTGTTCAAAGTACGCTCGTTCACGTTTGTGGTTCTCGTATCTTCTCAATGTTAGAAAAACATAGTTTTTGTGGTAAATCATTCGGAAAGATTGAACCTTCCTTTGACAGATAGGATTTGTTACTGGGCTATATTAAACCAGGTGAAATTTTCTAATGCGAATTTATGACGCTTGGATAGAAAAAAAGAAAAATTCAATCATTTGAAACTGAAAAACCATCGGTTTTGAGCATCACTAGGTTTCCAGTTACATAAAACAAACATAGCGAACCGCAGCTTAAGTACTAATCCGACCACAGTAGACATCTAAGCATCACAAACAGTTACCTAGCTGACTGGCCCTTTAAGTGGTGGAGCTCCTGAGCGACTCCACTTTCAACCCCATGTAATGATGCTCCCATGATCCTGATCTGTGACAATCCTACCACACGCGAGTCTCGTGGACGGTGACAATGAATATGGACATACTGAAAATATAGGAATGAAAAATGCTTTGCAACATGAAAGTCAAACGTCGCATCACGAGGATATAACACAGTAGTTTACTTTCTGTTTACAAGCGAGTCGAAGAAATGTCGTTGAACCAGAAACACTATAGCAAGACAACGGAAAATCAGAGCAAAGGACAACAGTTTTAATCTTGAATCTAATTGGTCAAAAGGATGGCGCAAGTCTGCCTGACCAATCAGTGAGTTCCGTACAACAGCACCAACCAATCCAGGATTACTTCGACAATCGACCTCAAAATGATACTATAACACTCTTTCAATTGAAGAAATAATCCACGCAAGTGGGCAGCAGTCGGCAGAATCGTACCTAAATAACAAACAGGGCCGATCTCTGAGCATCACACATCGAGTAGAAAGTCGCTAGGACACGTCACGGGAACAAGCCAATGCGACAATTTCCTTGTGTGAGATGGTGAATTTCCTTAAAATCGTTGCCTGTCCGACGAAATTTTGTCGCTGTAATCGGTCGTCGGAATTAAAACAAGACTTGCCGTGATCATTCACACAAATTTAAACGCGAGCAGCTCTCTGCAAGGAGATTTCGCTGCGACTTTTACTTGTAAATTTAGCGAGGAACCAGACTCTAATACAAAGCCCACTAAATTAACCGACTATCCAAGGTTTCAATAAATTCTTTCCATAACTGGCTGCCGCTGGTTTTATAGGCGGCTGGGCCCAAAAAAGGAGGCCGTAGGTCAAAAACCCAAACAAGAGAGCATGCTGACAGGCTAAATAGACACCGGTAAAAGGTCTTATGGCCAGCGGTAGACCGCCTACAAGCGGCTTTCACTGAAAACCTCTCATACCGCGTAGCCGCGTGGTAAGCAAGAGCATAAGCCAAATATACACCATACCTGTGCAACAACTGGCTGTTGGAGTTTAAGTTTGATTGTGGTGATTCCAGAAGTGAGGACGGGTTCACAAACGGGTACAAGGACTTGACAGTCACTACTCACATCCAGTGCCACATGTGATGGGCTTGCTAATGGAACAGCAAAGCACGAAATATCTTAGTAAACAGATACATCAAATGTTTGATAGACACCAAACTCCAATAACTTTGTCATAGACGAAAGCGAAAAGCAAATTTGAGAAAAATGAGAAGAGCAAAAATGGGAAAAGAGCAAAGAAGGAGGAAAATTCATTGAGATCATCAATTTAAGGGTGCTCCATTGGGTATGAAAATGAATGTACTGTACAGTTTTAAACTGACTGGTTTCAATTTTTTGCTTCAATTTTAAAGGGAGATCTATTCAGGTAAACAACAACAGGTAGAAAAAAAAGACACTTACTTGATAATCCCGAAGAATGAGGTTGAATGTGCACTTCATTCAAGAGGATGGCTGTAGGTAGATTCACAACTAACTCACACCATTCCTCGTTGACGGGAAAACGATACGACCAAGCCGGTGAGCGGACACGACGATGCTGTGCGGTGACTTTTAGCAGCGCATCAGGAGGATGTTTTGAAGACGACGTGCAGTGAATGGTGGCTGCAGAAAGGAGAAAAATATGTCCGCAATACGTACGTAGTTTAATTTAGCTCATAGTATCCAACGTGAATTCCATACTTTTAGGAGAGCGCATTTCGATTGTGTATCGTAAAGGCTAAAGCACAATGGTCTGTCAAAGGGCAAATATCGCAAGGTTACAAAGAGAAACCAAAAATGAGCAAATTGCCACAGACAGGGGAAGTTAATTTATGAGTGGGGGTGGGGGGGGGCGGGGGAGAGGAAGGAGGAGGAAGGGGATGAAAAACCTGCGTTCGGCTTCAACATTGCATGCGATTGGTTAAGAGGAAGGCGCTGGTTTTCTTAGCCAATTACAATGCCCAGTTCTGCCAACAAACGAAAACCCGGAATACTTTCGACACTCCACTGTGAATTTCTCTTTGTCAATGGGAAACAAAACCCCTGATGATTGACGAAGGCACTCACCATAAGGAGCAAAGTTGAACATTCGCTTGCCCAATTCTCCTTCTCCTACGGATGTTAAGAGCCCTCTTGGTTCCCTCCTGTTCGGCTTGCTGTTCAGTTCTTGCATGACAAAGAGAAGACCATGCGACGAACCGTCCAATGATGTTGTTCGTCCTGCCATGATAGCGTTGCACACAATGTCGAGGCCACCTGAGATTATAAATAATACACTTCACAAGTGTAACAACTCTACAGAACAACAACTCAAAGACCCACATTTTTTTTAACAAAACATAGGACAGTACATGCGTTGTATAGATGGCAATGCGATATCACATTCATGACGTTTTTAAATTCACGCGCATTTTTTTATAGAAGTATTTCCTGAGGAAAAAGAGCACCTTTTCCTAATCAAAATAGAGTCATCTGAATATTCGGGGGTAAGAGATAATTCTTGAAAGATATGCAAACCAGAGACGCAGTCAAAGGTATGCAAAACCGTCGTGAATTCTCATCGCCACTTCGTGTTCAGATAACGCGATGTAAACACGGAAAAAAATCAAAACACATTATAAGTAGGCAAGAGAAACTCTGCCGAGAGCAACGCATCGAATTGAAAAAGAATAATTCTAGTGAATTCCTTTTCTTACTGAAAATAGCCCAGATGACCAATAGTCTTAAATAAGAAATCCCTCCAAAAAAAATGTATCGCACCAATTTTCTTTTTCCTTTGATTTTTTCTTGAGTTCGTCATGGTCTAACTGCAGAAGTTTTGAAAATAAAACTGAGCGTCTTAATCACTTGATGTCATTTTGCGCTTGTTGAGGGAGCCTCGACTAATTTTTCAACCTGCCCAGTCTTCGCCATCCTTGCTCCTTACTCTTGACCCTTTTACGTTTTCCTACCAAGAAAAAGTGGACCAAAAATGCTAAGAAAAATGGTTAATTTACGCCTTTAGATACTAACCCTTTTCATAAAACTGCATCACAGCTTGAGAGGAGTTGAAAGTCCCACAGAACAGCTTTACTAAGGGAACAGACAAATGCTTCATTGACGCCGGAGACGACTCGACACCATCTTTTTCGCATGTCTGCAGGAAGGTCAGAAATGCATCGACCAAGACCCCTTGGTCACCAACGTGTTTTTGTATCACCCACAAGATTTGCCACACTCCATCCTCAACTGAGGCAGGTTTGTTTGAGGTCTTCTCATCGGTAGAAACCTTGTCTTCACAGACAGATGTCGAACCCGACATCCCTTGATTATCTGTAGTACACTGATTTAGACAATCCAACAAGCAGTGGAAGATCCCTTTGTCGGACACCAGTTTATCTATTAAATTGAAAGACACTGAAGAGCCACCAGTTGAATTGCTGGTTACACCTTGAATATCATCCGACTCCTTTCCATGACAAGTGTCTATTGATGTCTGACTTGAATCATTGTCAAGTGGTTTCACAACACAGTTCTGTAACATCTGAATCACTAAACTAAGCAGCTGAACAAGCCATGTACTATCATCCAGTTTATCCACAGTAGCTCCGCTGAGGACATCCGCAGATGGAAGAAGACTCACACTTCTCCTGTGAGCAAGATGATCCAAAGCAAGCTCTCCGGTCGCTTTCACTAGTCTTGTGAAAACTTCAGGTTGCACCTCACGCCACGCAGTGTTTGGGTTTGACAATAAGATATCGATAACTGGATCTACTTGAAGGACTACTCCTCTGTTGGAAAGCCTGCAATAAATTAAAGCACTTTGGTCGGTTCCCGTTTACCACATGTTTAGAATTATTGCACTGTTCCGCTTTACTTTCGTTTGTGTCTGTCTGTTTGTCTTTGTTTTGTTTTTTACGCAACAATATCAAGCAAACACGTCCTTACATCTGTGATACGATGAACAGCTTTAAGCCGTGCGCTGAAATTTTTAATTTCAGACACTAATTGTGCTGCTAAGTGGTGTTCAACCAGTTCAACTGCTCTAGGGTCTCACATAATCAATTCATTCCTATATCCCATTTCTTGATTTAAGTAAATAAGACTATGGCAATAACCGTGCCCACGAACAAAACAAACTAACTAAAATACCAGGTCCTAGACCTTCAGGAAACCAATTACACTTTTTAAGGACTACCCAATCATATGAAGTTTTCTAGACAAAAGTAAGACACCTTTCTGTACACAGCTCAAGCGTTGTCTTCAGCAACAGTTCAAGGAAAATCTGGGGAAGCTCCGCTCTGTTGTGACTATTGACAGCCAACTGCAACGACGTCAGAAATGCCTTGACTGGCTTCGGACTGGGTGGAAGAGGGTTCGCTCCTCCAAATGACGCCATCTGAGATAAGAGTCTTACTAAAAAATGCAGAAGGTCTTCGTTTCTTAGAAAAGCAATGAATTCAATATTAGCACAGTTCCGAAATTGTCCGTCAGACACACATGTAAGGACTTGCAGACAAAGCTGTAGCGTTTGAGAAGGCGACCCTGGAAGATGTATCACGTGCGAGAGTAGCTTGCTCAGAGATTCTGTATCCAGAGTTATACTGGAAGCGCACAATCGAATCTTCAGCCACAACTGCAGAAGAGAAGGAACATCCACATCCGCACTGGCGCAGTCATTGAATATTTTATTAAATGATGTTAGTAGAGTCCTTCCTACCACAGCACTGTTGCCATTCTTGGGAATCTTCTTGCGTGATTGTTCAGTAGTTCCCCTAAATGAAGATCCTGTGGTACTCAGTGCTTTAGCGATCGCATCTACTTGAAGGTGCTCCAACATTTTAAGATCTCGTTCTGCTTCCATCTCGAGACAAAGCTCGAGTCTCATATCAATGGCAGATGACAGTTTGATTGGGGGAGGTGGAGCAACTTTAGCCTCCCATGAAGATTGCACCGATGGTTTCTCATGGACTGGTGTTGCTTGTGGCATTTCGCTACCATTACCAATCTCACCAAAATCTCCCATCCAGCCTGACAGCTCAATAGGCAAGTCATAACTCGGACATATATCACCGTAATCCATAGTCAGCAAGGAGCCTTTCTTCTCATAATCAGTCACTTTTGACAAGAGCGAACTTTCTGTGTCATTTTCTTGAGCTGCAGGAGTCTGAGCGGTTACATTTCTTGAAGCATCACTAACTTTACTTCCCTGTCCACCTACCAAGGTAAAAAAAAACTACTATTAAATATAATACCTGTGACAAGAATGCAGGTGTCTTGAGTGGCAGAGCTGCCAGCCACAACTGCAAACAAATAATTTATATCCTTGCGGAGGAACTCTGCCACAGTGATTGCGGGCACTCCACTTCAAATCTGTAGATTCTTGAATTAAATCACTCACGTCGCCATTTATTTGTAGTTTTTTTTTCTAGTCGTCCTCACTTAACTACATCCCTAGCGACTTGTAAATCCCCTTTTTTGAGCACTTTCAGTGTCTCCAATCAGCACAGAGGTGTTCCATACAAGGCCACTAAGATAAAGCTATTTCCTTCATCTGATCAAATATAACTAACACACCGAGAACCCAAGCGAGCTGGTTGTAACTTGGACCGGCCTGAGAGGCTAACTCGACCCAGTTTACCAACTCGTGTCCAGACACATCGAAAGTTTGGTATCCTAGCCAAACGTGGTTTGAAACTACATTGATAGGCCTTACCAAGTAGATCCTGTAACAAAATAGTGAGTGCATGAGATGCCCATGGGCCTCCCCAGTGAGCTGATTGCATCCCATTTGGCATCACACACATCCTGAGCAGCTTCTCCAGCTGATCGTCTGAGATGACATCCACAAGGCTGATGAATGGGTCACTTACACACGCCAAATGAGCTACAACCTAAAAGATCAAATATAGTTGAGGCTGTGAGACCAAACAGGGCTGGGGGCAGTTAAAACACTTTGGGGCAAGGATGTGCCTTGACACCAACGTCTTAAAAAGAGCTTGACACAAAATACCACCATACCTCTACCCTGCTGAGAACAAAAAAAGTGTCACAATTTGTGGTTTATTGACCTCATGCTGTCATGTCTGGTATATTGGGCCATACTTACATTTACAGGTAACTTCTGCAAGAATTTTGTAACATGTATTGGACATTGAAAAACAAAATTGCCATCTTTTAAGGTGCAAAATCCTGTGAACTGATTGGCTATGTTCCAAGGTGCCTCCCTATACTAATGAACTCGAACCAAACTTGATGTCTGTGTGATTTCCGTGACAGAGTTATTCTCGGTAACTCAAACCACTCTTCGTTAGATGTATGTAGGTTTATCCTATGGAGCTCAAACATTTATTGAATTATTTATTTTAAAGCAGCTGTGTAATTTTTGCCTCCTTTTGGCATTGTACAAAATTCATCGGTCCAATTCAGGTTTCGCTGGTTTAGGAGTTCATTGCTACGTATGCTGATTGGATCCTACCTCAAATTTCAATTTTCGTTCGACCGGGCTATGTACTATACTTAAATTTAATTTCTGTGTACACTTTAGGGGCATATAGAAAACTCTTTATTTCTCTTTGCTTCCAATAATTTGTTCCAAATTCTCGATAACTCGACCCTTTTTCTATTTCACATGAAAGTTCGAAGTATGACCCACTCAGTAGTACTCAGACTCTAAGTCTACCTCACCTTGCATGCCACCAAGAACAATTCCACACTACACGAGGAATCCATACTCAGAATAAAGCTGACCATCTTGCGCATGACAGGAAGTGTTGTGACCGCTGGCAGAGGGGTGCTTGTGGAAAATGTTGTTGGCTGAATAGCTGTCTTTTCAGGTTGAGGTTTTCCTTCATCAACATGGCGACGGAGTTTGGACAAGTCCTTCATGTGCTGACGAACAAATTAAGAAAAAAGCGTTCATCCACAGCTATTAAAGGTATTTGATATTTTTTAAAGCTATTTGAGACAGGATACCAATTTGGATCACCATTACCTTATAAGGTTGCTTTCCATTCCCTTTCGTAAGCCCCTGTGGGTAGTCCATCTGAGGTTTCTTTGCCAAAGTCCCCTTGCTCATCTTCAGGTGTCTGTGCCAGTAACTACTGCTTTCACTGCTTGCACTTGATGGTAGAGTCGGTATAGTTGGAAGCATGAAGTCCCATCTGCTTCGCTTGCAAGATTTGTTACTCTTTGTGGACTTGGATAACTTGGTTTTGCCAGTAATCGGAGAGGAGGTACCGCTGTTTTTACCATTCGATCCTTTGGAGTTTTCCCCATTTTCTGACGCAAAGAAGTAAAACAGTCAACTTCATAACCAATTCAGGTTTATAAGGAGTAAGAAGTGTTACTGTCAAACCTGAAATGACACCCAAGACTATGGTCGGACTTACCCTTCTATAGCCACTGCACAAACTGTTACATTACAGTGTGAGAGGTAGAGAGATCTAGACACTCGTTTACCGCAATATCTACAGTATCGCTCGCGTGTATTGCAGCACTGCGTGTAATTCGTGGGAATTGCATACCCTTCCATTGCGTGAAGGTGAATGTGTGGAGTTCTTTATACGCAGATTCGTGCAATGAAGCACAGCGTGCGTGCTTCGCACGTGCAATGCGTGGAATTGCACGCGCGTGTAATGCTACGGTACACGTGAGCGGTACGGTAGCTGCGGACAAGAAAAAAAGTATGCAATGTCATAAGTGATTTTCATCCACAGCTCTTGTCGTAAACCAAATTTTCAATTTATTCAATGTAACATTTCACTAACCGTTCGTAGAAGCAGTTGTATCAGACTGGACTATACAAGTATCCAGAACATGTTGCAAGAGGAGTAACAACCAACTGATTAATGCCAGGTCTGCAGACTCCAGGTCCACTTTGAGGTCCTTCACGAGGAGCAGTCCATCTAACAGGCTCAGAAAACTTGTGAGCACCAGTTCAATTGAAGGGGACTGCTGGCTCAAGCGCACTAATACTGCAAACAGTCTGATTATGGAAAATCATCAAAAGGTATGAGTCTATGATTGACCATTGATCGTAGGGAGATAAGGAAGATCGATAAGGTAAGGCCCCACGACCATGACATACGACAATTATCTAATTCTTAAACTGTAGAGACCTGGGAACTAATTCCCTCTCATAACCACTACATTGAACCATACATATCAGTTAAGAAAATTCAATGTTTAACCAAGACATATTTTCAACCAAATATGTACGGTCATGACGACTTCCTTTGAGTAATAGTTTTTTACATGCTACTTTTTGTTAGCATACAAAAAATTTAAAAAATATAACCAGGAGTATCTCAACAACGATAACTCAATTCAAAGCAAACCGGCGATGTGATTTCCTACAGAGAATGAACTTATAACTCTTTCAAACAATGGTTCTCACCTTTCTTGGGGAAACGTGCACTTCTGGCTGGAACTAAAAAACTCTTTCAGAACATTGGACAAAAATTCGCCCCACCATGGCTTACTACCACAAGCATTCAAGAGTAGAGCGCCAACCCTTTCACGTTTTTGAGGAGAACCATGAACACAGAGGTTACGAAACAAGCTTTCACACATGGTAGGAGTCACTTGGCTTAGAGAGGGCTGCCACTCAAGCGTTAGTTTGGGTTTAGCAAGGTAACCCTCTAATGAAGGACCAACACCCATTAATGCCACCACTGTGTCTATTAAACAGTTGCAGATGACCTGCAAATGATCGTATTTGGCTTCATCAAGAGACGGAATTGTTCTATTGCTTTCCGTGTTAGACGTCAGTCTAGTAATAGACCTTTCCACCAGGTTAAGTTGGTGCTGCAGGTTAAGGCACTGGTTGTAAGCTTTCTCTACTTTCTTGTCTTCTTCGGTGAGAGATGCACCAGCTCCAGATCCGTCTGGCCTCGGAGTTCGAGGTTCAGAGGATTGCAGCAGGGTCCGCAGTTGTGTGCACGTCAAGTTGTAATGACAGTGGATGTCTTCTAGGAGGTTGAGTAGTATTGGTAAACACTGCTGGTCTTGGCAGCTTGTAGCAAGAAGCTGACTTTCCCCACTGATGGTTGTCTGACGACAAAGTGGATGACCATAGAATTCTCCAACCTTCACACGTGCCTTTGCATTTGTCTTAGGCCTTCCAACTACAGTTAGCTAAATAAAGAAAATAATATGAATGTTATCAATATTAGTAAAATCTGCTTGAGAATTCCTCTTTTAGAATATTTAAGAGATAATCGAGATCATATAAAGTTCCAACTCGAGTGCAATTTTGTTTCTGGCGCAAATACACCAATAATTATGCCTCGATTACAAAAAAAGGTCTAAGGTTTGTGAAAATATTTTCTCCTCAATGTTATCAGCCATTACTCGATGATTTTCTGAACGAGTCCCACTGGAACAAGAAAAAAGTGGCGTAATAGACTGATGAGTAAATTTTTCGTTATGTGAAGCCAAACTAATTCAGTTTGCAGCAGCAGATTTTTGTGTAAAAAAAAGCGCCGTATGTGAGGTAAAAGCTACCTCCAAGCGAGGAGGTATCCTGCATTTGTTCCCAGATGAGGGCTTATTCGAAGAATATAACTTAAACAAAAGTTTGGTGCAACTTTGCCTGAAAAAGCCGGTTTGACAAATGTGCATGTTTTTCAGTTTGATATGGCAAATATAAAGCAAGTGTGTGCACGGGGCAAGCCCACTTAACCAACAAAAATGAGAGATAGGATATTTTGAACGGGTCTGTTACTACTTTCTTCTTATCACTTATAGAGATAAAAGGTTCTTTCTTTCAATTTGAGCGCTGCGCTCAAACAAGCGGGGCACCCGATAGGCAAAATATTCAACGAATATCTCGGCTTGTGATCGAGTAAATACAGAAGTTGCAGCTCTGTGCGCGGAATTGGCTGGGATTTCACATTGAATAATTTAACTCGTGAGTAAACGAAGTAATATTTCACCATACGCAACGATGTTCAATCATCTCACCTTAACATAGCGGCACACTGGAGGAGGCAAAAGATCTTTGAGAACAAAAGCACAAAGGTTGATGTCTGACACCACAGCTATCCGCTGTACATCTGGGTCATCCCATTGACTCCACAGATCAATGGAAAGTGACATGATGTCTGAGCACTGAGGAATCAACACATCTGTCAGCTGGACAACACAGCCAAAGTCCAAAACAACATGATGACGGGCTCCAGCGTGGAGACGGTCGATCACCAACATCTGTGGCTGCGGGAGCTTTGAGGGAAAAACAATAACATGTACTGTGAACCCTCTACATCCTACCAATAAAGTGCACATTCTCCATACTGTTCTCTACATTTCTTATAGTTTTCAAAAGGAGAACATGTTGAACGATCAACGGCTCTTTTGGTTGGCAGTCATTTCCTTTACTTGCACTATTTACTTGACTACTGTTTGATGTCACATTGATACTGAGAGGAAAAAAAGATATTAGTAACTCTTACGAGTTACAGGGCTAAACTGGCAATTCTTGAAGTTGGCCATTTGAAATTGGAGTAAATTATTGCTGTTCTTCGCCATTGTCTTTAATTTCTTGGTCTTTCCTTACCATTTTAACGCTTCCTTCCAACCAATCCTCCCTTCCCAAAACCCCTTGATGGTGATTTTCTCTGCTTATGAAGTCTATGCGAAAAAATTCTTCACCCATGTAGTAGTATCTTTGCACGGTGCAATCGGATTGTCCGAGTTCTCATTGAAGTTCATGATCTACTCATGGACAATGTTTGACAACACTCCTGGATGATAATTCAAGACATGAATTTGACAAGAAATATGTTTATGCACCATTCAGTGCGTACATTCCAACAGCGGGTGTCCCTTGATAGTAATGAAAGGTGAGACTAGGATAGGCTCCAGTTTGCAGGATTTTCTCTTTGCTTTAGCACTTAAGTACTAGCAGCAATCCACCAATCCTACCTGCATTAGGTGTTGTTGGATAGGCTGGGACACAGGGCCACCACTTGCCCTCTCAATCTTCTTTGCGCCCGCTGCTTGTTTCTTGTGCTGTGCCAAGTTGATAGGAGCACTGGTGGAAGTCAAGGGAGCTGTGGTTGGCTGAAATGCGGGAGCACTTGGTGGAGCTGACCATACATTACCAGGTTTGTATACGGTCTTTGGAAACAGAGGCCACATGGACATATCTTCAAGTTCCTTCTTGTGTTTTTCTAACTGCTTTTTGTGTTGTTGTAGGCTTACTAGCTGTAGCTGGTGTTGCTGCACGACACACACACACACAAAAAAAAAAACACAGACAATTTTTTTACAGGAAATGAATAAAAGGGAGTCAGTTTTTGGTTCGTGTAAAAAATGACCAAATAGGCCAAACGTTGGAAGCATTCAAACAACTGTTACGAACAGTTCCAGTGTTCAACGTTAGAAAGATGTCAGCTTGATAAACAGACATTACTCATGACTCGACGCGATGGAGATCTGAGACATCAAACCTTTAACAAGGTCTCTTTTCAAGCCAGTTAGGAATCTTGTGCTTACAGTCTTGGGAGCTAATAAGTAATACTACAAAATTTCAAAAACAGAGTAATCCCCCTTACATCCTGACATCAGTATGCATGTTCTCCATACTGTTCTCTTAATTTGTTAAAAAATCAAGAGCTTCTTTATTGGAGGATCACTTCCTTTATTCTCGTGATCGTAATGTCTTATCCAGGAGTGATATTGAAAGAAGAAATAAGATGTTAGTCATCCTCAGAGGTCAAACGGTCATGTAGCTGTCATAAAGAGAAAGCTGGTAATTTTTTTCGTGGGTTTTAAGTAGGCAGATAGTATGCAAAAATATGTTCCTATGGCAAACAAAATACAGCAAAAAAACACTTCTAAAATGATACTACCCTCCGTCAAATGAAAAAAAAGGTCCATTGGATGAAGTGATAAATGTTTTAGCGTTCTAGCGTGCGAATTAGACAGATTTAATATTTCCACGGTAAAGAAAACAGAAGGGCCTGGATGCGACTTGTGCAGGGTATGATGGTTTTTATGCTGTCTTTGAAGCGATAGCTCTAAACTCTCTAAATATAATTTTGAATGTATTTCAAAGACAACATTATCCTTAAGCTAGTCATATGCTCTCAGAAACCTAAGTGTTTTCTCTCCTGTGGCAAGATACCTTCAGCATGTGGAGCTCTTGTTCCAAAGCAGCGAGAGATGCTGATACAGTTGGCAGTGTTGGCGCTAAAGCTGATCCGGTCGGCATCCCACTAGACATCATCGGAACATGAACCGGCGTACCTGAAGGTCCCAGACTACCACCAGATAGTAGGTGATTGTCACCCCTCTCCACTCGGGCGCCATCGCTGGTGGAACAGCAAACAAAATGAAGGGGCTGGACTTCCAGGAGGCCTTGCCAAGCTAGCGGTGAATTCACACTGCTCCATGAATTGGATTCGGAGCCTCCGGAGGAAGATGATGCCTTGACGGTCAGCGGCACTCCACTAAGAGCATTAACAACTGATGAACTTTGCTGGCTGGTAGAAGCTTGCGGCAAAGCATCAAACAGGACAGGGTCTAATGGGGAGCCATATAGACCATACCTGATGAAAATCACAAACTAATGTTCACTTTTAAGAATGCAAAGCACATATAAAACAAATAGGCTTCTAGAAATGAACCTCCAAGAGGGCGCCTATTTGTGCACTGTTATCCATGTGAGATTAGTTATTGTAGTGTTTGGCTTTTGTGGAGGAAGGAAAATAAAAAGTCCGAGAAAAACACTCGAAGAAAAGGTCGAGCATCACCAACAAACATGACTCTCACTAGAAGCCTGGTCCTAAAATCGAACCTGGGAACCAGTGCTGGGATGAATCCTCTCTCTATTGCATTACCCCTGATCCCCTGCAAGTACCCTTTGGTGCATCAAGTAGACCCAGAAACAAGAGAGATCGGAAGCAAACAATACGTCACACTTTCTATCGGTTCACCAGCGTTATAGCCCACGCGGGATTTTGGGAGAGCACAAGAAAAGTTCAAGAGTCGGGGGTTTACCGTTGCAATAAGAATAAAAATGGTTTTTGACCTATCAGGGCGCTCAGAGTATCTCAGTTATTTCATAGTCAGATATCAATTATATTTCATATTATTTTCGCCCATGATGTTCCTACAACCCATTCACAAAGTCTGTGATGTCTTTGCCCTCACTTCGTCTTCTTTCGTTTTGGGTTCTGCATATACTATACAGAGTGTAATTGCAGAAAACCTATAAAGATCTATTTGAAGCTTATTGTTCACAAACGCGTATCCGTTTATCATTTGCCACCAAAATGTGAAGAGAATGGGAGCTAAACTTCTACAATAAACAAACTTTCCAACCTCGCACGCAATAACTGATGCTCTCGCAGTCTTGAAGAAGCAAGTTTGGAAGATAAAAACTCTAACAACTCCAGGCAAACGAAACTAGTGAGGGTGGAATCAGCCTGGGCGGCAAATCCCGCAAGTAATTTAAACAGCCAGTGTATTGCACCAGACGAAACAGCGCATGGAGTTATTTGCAAAACATCCAGGATCGCATTTAGTAAAGATCTTCTGAAGGATGACGTGGATTCAGTGGGAGACCTTTGGTTCACAGCTCTCCTATGAAGTGAATAGGGGAAACAGTCAATGTCAAATAAAAACAACAACAACAACAATGATCATCTCATCTCACCCCACCCAAGAGTGTAAAAGGTGCCAGTAAATTGTATGGAAAACCTGATAAATTAAAATGTAGCCAATTAGGTATTACAACGTTAGTACATGCGAAGAAGGTTGGCCACTGAATTGATGACATGTAAGGGGCTACAAATTGGCTTCACCACTGACAGACTTTTTACAAAAATGCATTTGCGGTTTCCTAATTTGTGTACTGCAACGAAGGAAACCACAACTTCAAGACACTCGGATCTACTGTATAAAGAGAAGTACGAACAGTGAAATACCTGGCGCACATCATCAACAGTCTGCTACACTTGTGAGCAATGCTACGTCCACAACTAAGGTAACATGTTCGAATCAACTTGGGAAGATAATTTTCCACATCCCATACCAAGTTGCTCTCCCTGCAGAAATATCACGAGAACATATATGAGCCTTCAGTCCTAATATCATTAAATACCTGCTTTGTGATTGGTGAGTAACAAAACCCTACAAATAAACAGGTAATACAGTACTGAATTTCTATAATGCCATTTGCCAAAATTAAGGCAAACAGGTCCTCGAAGTAACAAGTTTTCATTCCACAGGTTGATCACAATTACAGGTAGTTCATACAGTATGCGTTAAGGCGGTAAGTTTCTAAAGAAACTGAGGAACTGCATCAATGGAGGAGGGATTACTAATAGATGATCTGATTTAAACAATTGAGTTGATAGTGTAAATTGGTCATCATAAACAGTTTCTAAGCCTAACAAATTGAGCAATCATCTATGCTACAGTGAGACTTAATAACATCATGCACAAATGGACTTTTCTCTAGCCATGATACATGCATTGCCGTTGTTCAAAAAATGAAATTACCCAGTCTTCCAGTTAACATAGACACCAGCAATCCAACAGAGAAGCTCCAGAGCCAACTTCCTTCCATCATCAGGTTTAACTGCTCCCTGGACAGGCTCACATCCAACAACAATATCAAGCAGTCTTTGGCTGCTGTCTTCCAGTAAACTGGTCCTCAACTTGTGACATTCCCCTGGGAAGTTGTTCTTGAACCTCGCCACTGTTACTGATAACTCAGCCAAATCTTCACCGGGACCACAACTGTCAAACACTAGCAACAGAATCCTGCTGCTGTATTTGATCAGCTCTGGACTCGTAAGGGTCACACGACCATGACGCCCTGTACTATCAAGTCCCATTTTAAGGCTCACAGGACCACACACTATAGTGTTTTGCTCTCGAGCCGAAGCTAGTATTCCTTTCTTCTGACGTTCTGGTAATGGCAGTGGATAACTCCTGTGACTGAGTTTAAAGGAGCTAGGATATGGCGGTTTTACCAGGTAAACGTTGGTAGCTGGTTGGGTGGTCATAGGGCTTAAGGAAAATCTGACGTCTACATGGCCCACATGGCAATATCTTGGGAGAACAATTTCTGCAACTTGTTCTTTGGTCAAAAACCTGAAACAGTGAAGGAAAAATGTTAACACTAAATACACACAATTAACCTTAGACTGACATAGCATTAGCTTCTGATTTCCCCTCACTTTCTATTCCACTGTATCAGGGTGGAATAACATTTCCGAGAAAATGCCACTAATAGTGCTTGAATATTACTTAATGCTGTTGTTTCACTAAATTTATTGGAAAATGCTAGCGTAATGTACAATAGCCCAGTAGATGATGACACAACAAAGGACACCAGATGGCACCTCTGATTAGGTTGTGTTCCCCTGACATAACTTGCCTGCTATTTTCTGTCCGCAATTTCCATGTCCTGGTGTGTAACAGAGGATCTACCAAGGTGTGCTGGTAAAGCCGGTGCTGATCCTGTTGATACTCCACCCATGAAGACGGCACAGATGCCATAAAACGTGGCATCAGCATCACAAACTCTGTCAGTTGAACCAATGAAAGCAGGGTTGCCATAGAGACTGGCTCATTTGGATTAAGGGCAACAGCTGCAAAAGTAGCCATCAAACACATTGTAACATAATTTAATGCATGACCTATTTATGACTTTGACACAAAGATACTCTCAATACTTAACAGGAAGTCAAGCTGAAAATAATATCATGAACATTTCATCTGTGGAGAGAAGTGTTGCAAAGATCCAGTTCTTGTACTCGTGTGTAGAGGAACTCTCTTAACCATAACACACCTTAAGATCTGATTAGCAAATTCTCCAATCTATTTCCAACAGATTTCCTGGCAAATTGGGTATAAGAATTTGGAAGTCTCCTTGTTTTTACTTTGAGATCTCAATGGCTCCTTGGTTGGTTGTTGCGTTTTATTTGATTTTAGTTTTCCTGTGTGCTCAAACACAAGGTGGGTACTAAGGTCAGTGTCACATTCCAGACTAACATTTAAAACAACTTCACAGAAAAGGCTTACTTTTCTGCTAGTTATTAACAAAATCAGAAAATCCCGCAGAAAAAAAGACCCGTTTGCGACAAAAGCAACAATTTTGACATTCTGAATCTGACATATAATTCTTTCTGTGTCATGCATCCTTGATTCTAGTTGGGCACTCCAACCCTAAGCAAAAAGCCACATAATTGTATCTAAAGAGCAAAGCAAATTCTAAAGGATTCTTTGTTCCCTGTAATAATTTTTACAATAACTGAGATTTCAGATAAACCAGTTTGACAATTGTCATCTCATCCAATGATCTAATAAGGTCTAATATTTCAATGATTTTATTTCTTAGCTATAATCACCTGTCTGTGACCAAGACCCTGCTGGGGGAACCTGAGATATGCTATCTGTTCTGTCCTGCCCCACACTTCCTTGACTTGCTTCCACAGCCTTATGGCGACGCAAACCTAGGAAATGCATTGCTCCATCCTCGTTGCATGCACAAAGGCAATCCATCCCAGGACAGTTCAAGACATGCAATATGTTTGAGTTTCCATTGGATAATGAAAACTTGGTGAGTATATTAAGAGAGTTTGCATCAATGAGGATGACACTGCTCTTCACAGCACCAACCAAAAGAGGTCTCTCTGGAGACAACTCTGCTTCTGCATCTTGTAAGCATAGATTCAAGTCACCTATGAGGTCATGGCTCTCTGGTGGAAGAGCCACTATAGTACTAAACAGACCTTCTGAAGCCGCAAATTGTTTTGTTCTTAAAGGCTGAGGAGACAACGTTCTTTTACTATTACTGCTGAGTATATCATACACTGCCAGTGTGCTTTGAGTAAAATTGTGCTCACAGTTTAGAGTTTTAGGACGGGTCCCTTCCACAAAATTTTCTTCTGTTCCAGCTGACGAGTTTGTCGTTGTTTCATTTGGATATGCTGTTATGATGTTTCCGGAGGAAGAGCATAACACAACAGTAACCAAAATATGTTCACTATCCCCAAAAGGGACTATGCTGGACACCTTACAACAACGATTGTCACAAACTTTTGACATATCAACACTCTGAACAAGTTTAGCACATCTATTTCTTTCTTCTTTTGATTTCTTAGTCTTTCCTGGATCTGCCCCCAAATCACCAGTTATAGCCTCAGCAAACTTCTGCAACACAGATGAGTGAAGTGTATCGGGAGGAAGAACAGGAGGTGGTGGCTGGCCAAGAGGCAGCTCATCATATAAAAACTCATCGTCACTCCCAGACAATCCATAAGGGTCTTGCATCAGCATATCCTTTTCTAATTCAATACAACTTTCAACACTGAAAGCCTGCTTTGTTGTGGATTCCTCCAATTTGTTTCCTGAATTTGTAACAATATCATAAACCAAAATGTATGGACAAAGCTGACCTGCACTGCAACCAACATCACCTTTGTCCTCTGATTTGGTACAATCACTAGTAAAATTCTTTTGCATAAGAATTGCAACAAGTAATGTAGCAGTGTGCGCAAATGATTGACAGCTCTGACTAGTAGAGTTTGTAGGATCTTTTCCACAAGAACAAATGATAGACACAGTACAGACAACTAACTTTTCTTTTTTAGTTTCTTCTTCAATAGTTTCAGAGTGACAGCCAGCACTCTTCTTTTCATCTGCAAATAACAATAACAAACCATTTACGGTGTGTTTATGAGCATGTCATATACAAACAGTGCCTGACCATTTATTAACCTAACTCTTTCACTCCCAAGATCTTTCTAAACAATAATTCTCCTTCCTACCTGCCTACACATTTCCCATATATTGCTTCTGAGAATTTTGGTTTTATGTCAGATAATAATCCCCTAGTTGATATTGTTATTTATAGTGTACAGTGATATTGTAAGGAGAAATTAGTTCCAGGTCCCACTTGGGAGTGAAAGGGAAGAGCAACTTTTTGGCTTTATCTTCTAGAGGCTTAGGAGCCAAGTATTACTTCTTTTTCTAAACATGATGCTTGTCCCTTGCAAGTCCTCCCTAGCAAATTATCAAATGACCCTGAACTAATTATGGTTAAGATATAATCTCCTTGGAGGAGGGAAACTCTGTGAAAGAGGATCATTTTAACCACACAACACAGTGACAAAGCCAGAACTCATGGTCTCACTGGTCCCTCTGACCAGTATTTACCACCATTCCACCAAATCTTCCACTAAAACCTTATTTTCACTAAAATACTGAACACTTAGTTATTATGCAGAAATAAGAGATTTCAACTGGTGAATAAACCAATGACTCTAAGTTACCGTATATGATTAAGAACTAACATGACAGAGATAAATAACATTACACAAATTCAAGATAAAGACCTTGTCCACTGTTGCAGTCTTCATTTGGATTCTTATGGGATGATGCTTCCTCTTTTGACAGTTCAGCTGCCTTGCTCTCTGGTGGATCACCTACAGTTTTGGAATCTTTCTCTGGCTCACTACTGGTAGCTTCCATGTCTTCATAGTCAGGCTCAGCCCAAGCCACAAAGCTTGTAGGAGGGCAAAAGTGTTCAGATGGCAAATCTCCTTCTGGAGTTTCTTCAACATCATCAGGTAGACTTACTTGAAACTCAGTATGGATCTGTGAAAAAAAAAACATGAGCAATGCTGATATCTTTTGACTTCCATTGTCAAACCATATTAAATCAAAGGGAAAGTTTCTCCAGGATTTTACAAGTCAAATTGACAGCCTGTGCTTTCTTTTAAGCCAGCCCTTAAAGGAAAGGTGTCCTTGAAAAACCCACACAATTTTTATGGATGCCATTCAAAAGTATGTATGAAATTGTGATGATGAATACATTCTGAACCTCTCAAGAAGAACTCAACAGTTCAAAATGTTTTTTTCAAATGTGCTGTAGCTCCACTTTTGGATCCCGTCATTCTGAAACTTGCTAGCAACCTGGCTGCTTGCATGCAATGTACCGAAACCTCACTTGCCTTCATTCCTGCTGACAAGGACAATTTGTTTAAACAATCAAGAGCTTCTTTAGTTAGTAATAACTTCCTTTATTCTAGTGACCTAAATGTTTGATGCAGGGGTGATGTTGAAAGGCCATTCTGGGAGGTAATGATTAAGTGGGAAAGGAGGCCTGAAGTGGACAAGCAACAATCATTTATCCCATTCAGGGTATCACATTTGATAAGTTAAATATTATTACCTTCAGTTCATCTTGAATGTCCCAGATGATGACATGTCCATTTTCACTACATGTTGCCATGAAGTGTGAACACGAGCTTTCACTGATGAACTAGCAAAGTAATACAAATTAAATATTAAATAACTAAACAAATAAACAAACAAACAAACAAATAAATAAATAAAAAATTTAATTAAATATTGATATAATTATCTCTTGTGAACAGCATTTTAAATTGGTACAGCACCTACATGTATATACTAATTGGGAGCAAAATAAATACACCAAAAGAAAAAAAAAACAAAAAAGCAAAAAAAAAAGGTACATAACAAATATTTTTAAGAATTCCAGCTAGTGTTGGGCAGACCTGTCCATATCATAATTGTTCAGAGGAGAAGTTAACTCTGGGCTAATGAGGAAAAAAAAATTCAATAGAGTTCCAGAGGGGAAACTTTGACCATAAAACCTAGATTTCAAATCAAGTGTTCTTAGCCCCTCAGCCAAGCTGCCCCCTCCTCCCTTCCTCCCACTTCTACTTCCTGAACTCCAGTTACACATATCACAAATAGTAACTCTTGATTTCACTCAAACATTACGTAGGGACATCTTGAAAGGGATAAAGGGACATGAAGAATTTGTTTAACTATTGTTTGCAACTTGAGAACTCACTTGAATTTGAACTGATTCATGGGTACAGGCAGGAGCAGTGGCCAATGAAACTGCAAAATATAAGTCAAAAGTCAACAACTATAACCATTGACATGAACAAGTGAAGATGAACAAGTTGTGGTTGAAGTTTTCCTCGCTCAAAAATTCTTCAAGCCTGTTTAAAAAGTTTTATGGTCATTACCATATTCTGAAACAGAACTGCCTTAATGCTTTAACTCCCATGAGTGACCATGGCATAATTTCTCTTTTCATTATGTAAACAAAATCAAGCAGGCAAATGATGACAACAAATAAAAATATAAATTAAGGGATTATTAGTTGATCCAACACAAAGTAATATCCTTGATTTTTCTTCAGGGATCATTCAACAATATTTATGTTGTATACATAGATACACTAAAACTGTTGGATCTCTACACCCTCCAGAGAATATCGCTAACCTGACATAGGGACATTTATGGTATTATTTCCCCTCACAAATGAACACTCTGGACAATGCCGTTCATGCTCTGCCCTAAAAAATAAAATAAACAAAAGCAGAGAAAAAATTAGTATCTTTCTCATTGTATTTATGCATAATTATACATGTAACTCTTTTAGATATTGCTGGCCCTAGCAACATGCAGCACATGTGTTTCACATGAACCTAAAAGTAGTAAGAGCATAGCTCACCATAATGAATCTGTGGTTTAATGGTGAAGTATAATACTGTGATATTATCTTACCAGGGTTCGTCTGTTGGTTCCCAACACACCAGACACACATTGCAAGTAAAACATAGAGCTCTGTCATCACCACGGTTACTAGGCTGAATGAGTTAGAAAAAAAAGACATTCAGCCAAATAATGTATAATAATGAGAGCTGTGTAAAACACATGTATAGACACACTATAATTGATTGCAATTCATTTCAACCACTTTGAAATCACCAGTATCCTAGCAATCTGATCAGCTCTCAGTTATGCCATTCATTTATGAATCACAGAAATGTTTGCTCAACATTTCCAAGCAAAAACAAGTAGTGTAGCTGCGAGGAGTGCCCCTATACACGTAATTTGGTCTAAAACTTACCTGGTGGTAGAAACCAGCTTTTGCCATGGCTTCTGGATATGCCCACCTTGTAAAAAAAAAAATCCATCTAATAAGTTACAGAAACAGAAAATAAAACAAGACAACAGAGATATGTCATGCTAATACATTTCACAAGTAAAAATACATCCCAATTATCTGCAGCAGAAGGGGCTTGGCTTCAACAAAATATTGTTACCAATTACCTGATCAAAAAACTTGAAGAGAAAAATCTTAAAAAAAAAAAGATACACTTCTCAAAATTTTTAAGTCCAGTTGTACCTATTGTTTCACTCTCCATCAGTTAATTTTTGCAGACCTTGGACATTATTAAAGTGAAGGGAAGGGGGCAGGGGGGGGGAGAGTTGATGCAATTGAGGTAAAAACAGTTCTATGGTCCAATTTTCTCATTACCAACAATGACAGCCAAGGAGGGTAACAGGAATGTTTCAACTAATATTCCAGTTTTATTTTCAGCTATGCATATGAAAAGAAGGGTCTACTGATGCAAAATTCACTTCACAACTTCAGGACATTTCTTGTGTCCATTTAAGAACAGAAATCCCACTAGAAGTGCAAAGATCAGTTAATACCTGTATTCTTTATGAGGCCATGATGAAAAGGTCTTTCTCCGCACTGCCTCCATAAACATCGGAAATTTGTTCCCTGGCGAGGTTGGTCTGTTATCGGTGGTGACTACGTCAAGCAGGTACATAGTTCTTGATTGCATGGCAGCAACAATGGGGAGAGCAGCATGATTTTTATGGCTTCTCTGAAGATAAGTGATCAAATCAGCAAACACTTTCTCCAGTGCACTACAAGCATACTTCAACTGGCAAGTACACCACTAGAAAATAAAAATAATACTGTTAGAGAACTACATGAACCCAACTCAAAGATTATTTAACAATATTCAAATAGAACTAGTAAGACAACCCTATAGAACTCAAGTTTATAACAGTGTCATCAACTTCCTCTTAACAAGCTCTCCCCTGACTGAACAATAATCAACACTTATTGGAGAGATACTTTTTTGAAGTTTATAAAGAAAAAAATGAAATTAATAATCTTGAATAGATATGCTCATAGGTGACATTCACTTCAAGTTTCAACAGAAATCATTCAAAAGTTTGTTCCTAGCACTTGAAATATTTTGAAAAAAGGAAAAATAAATCATAGCCTAATGGCTGGTTTCCAGAAAAAAATCTATTCCAAAGAGATGATTACACAATAATATAATTTTTGTTACATCAGGCATAGATCACTGTTGATAAATTCTCATTAGTGTTAACTCGATACTGTATTGATTCTCTGAGGAGAAATGACATGTTGATTGATCCTCTCAGGTTAAACCTGTGACTGTCAGTCACAGGTTTAACCATAACTTAGTACTCACTACAGCACATGCTTACCTTAATTGCTTTATCGTGACTTGAGCCTAACAGGGACTGAGCCTTGTCTACTTCCTCTTTAAGCAAAGATTGCACAGTGTTTATATTCTTCATATTTGAATCATCCTCTCCAGATGAAAGACACAATTCTATAGCTGATAGTAACTGCATAGCCTGAAAAAGCAATCACATTTAGAATTAAAAATATTTTACCACCAGTTTAACCCTTTCATCATTCATTTCACATTTTAGAAGGCAAATTGTGCAATAGAATGAATGTTATTTTCTACTTTTCTTCTTAACTCGTTCTTCAGTTTGTGCTTGATCATGCAAATAGTTGACAATACCATAAGTTTGCTTCTTTCCTGCATGTACATGTACATGTAAACTTACACCTGCACCTATTCTCCAGTAGTCATGTACATTATCATGAATGTAAATAGAGGAGGTAAACTGACTCCTCTCCTTCTATATTGAATTTCAAGGTTGTCATTTCTACCATGACCAGTAATTTCTAATGTACAATGTATTGTGTGCTGGCCTTATGAAAAGGTAACCACAACTCAACTGCCAGTGCTCATTCCACACTGTAGCATGACCCTTTCCACCTTAACATCACTATGTATATTCTTCATACTGTTTGTAAGGTGCTGACAAGTAAAATTTGTGTAACAATCAAGGGCTTTTTTTTTATCAGTGACCATTTCCCTTTTTCTTGTGACCTCAATGTTTGATTCAGGAGTGATCTTGTCAGGAGAAATTAGATACTAATCAATCTTAGGGGAGGTCAAATGGTAAAAGAGACTAAGAGTTATCTAAATCTTCCATTCCCAGCACCCCTTCTCCAACCCTTTCTTCTGGGTGGGGAAAGAAACCATCAGTTTTAAGTTCCTTCCCGAAAAACAACCAAACTGATCCCATCATAGGCTGAAACATTTCACAATCTATTCCAAGTCCTGTTTGCTAAATATTCTGTACCTTATACTTAATACTTACATCTGAGAGAGTCAATTCAAACACAACTGGTTCCATGCAAGGACCTTTGAAAGGAGGCTGTAAAATGCTGTCCAGCAGCAAGACGCCATTAAGATCCTTTCTGAGTCCAGATACATTTCCATTTGTGATAAACAGCTTCTCCACCTCAGGACAAAACTTACATTGAAGGAACTTAGCTTCTCCTACATAGGAAATGATTATGAAAGATGTTAAAGTCTGTCTACATCCAAGGTACATTGTAAGGCTTAATCTTCCTGTTGTGCAATCATAACAATGAAATGTTGGAGTAATAACTATCCCTGAGCATAATTATTCAAACTGTGTGAAAACTGGTTGTAGTTGATGTTAGTAGACCAGTATGCACTTTCTCCATACTCCTCTCTATACACTCCCTGTGGTACTGACAGAGAGAATTTATTTACATTTGTGTAACAATCAGAGCCTCTTAGGTTGGCAATCATTTCCATCATTCTCATGATCTTACTGAATGATTCAGCAGTATAATGTAATGAGAAATTAGGAGCTGGTAACTCTCACAATTTAAATGGGTTAAAGTTACTTAAATTAACTGGAAGAGGGCTATTTTAAGAAAAAAAATTCTTATTTCTGTACTGTTTGCAATAGACTATGCTAGAAAAATGAAAATTCAGGAAAATCATTTTCCCCTTAATTTGACTATCAAAAAAATCCTACAAAGAAGTGATGAGAAGTGAAACAATCATCATCTACAGGGTATTGTTTGATTGACTTCCAAATTCTTACATATAAATTATAAGTACTGAACGGTAAATAATAAGGAGAATTGCTATTTAGGTCTTAGGGGTGAAAGGGTTAAAGGAGAGTCTCAATGGGCAGGTCTTCATGTTGGTTGTTCGTTAGAGCGTTATTACTTTGTCGGAACTCGCTTTAAACTTTTGATCTTTGTCGGTGGTTGGTAAATATCAGTTAATGATTAAAAATGCAAGTTAATTACTCATATTTGTTGGATAAATGAGCTTGAGGACCAGAAGCTGTTCAGAAAAATAGCCCAGTTAGAATGTTATCATTTTTTCAGTAGTTAGTTATAATTTTTTATTTTTGTTGGTAAACAGCAAATCTCAGTTAATGATAAAAATCCATGCTAATTATTCATGTTTTTGGTTTATACGCTTGAGTATGAGATGCTGTTATTCAAATGAGCCCTGTTAGAATTTAATTACTCTGTCAGTAGTTAGTTAAAATTTTCAATCTTTGTCTGTAGTCAGCAAATCTCAGTTAATGATTAAAAATGCATGTTAATTATTTACATTTATCTGGTAATACATGAGAAGCAGCAGACACTGTTCTGGAAATGAGCCTGTGCTCCTTCCAAGCCATAAGTAAGCTTAATGACAGGAAATTCTATAATTAACTGAATCTTATGAATATGGATAATGTTGCAACACGTCAGTTGTGGGTTCATATAACCTTGTCACTACAGGGTAATTGTTTTTTGCATTTTGTTGGTAGTCAGTTGTATTTGTCTCCCTTTTTTGCTAGTTGGTTAACTCAATTCAGATCCTCTTATTGATCACAGGCCTACAAATACTTCACTTGCAATTTGACTTCAAATTTAAGATAACTATGGTGCTTTAATGCACTTGAAGTCAATATATGACATAACTTTGGCTTACAAATTGAAAGTTTGTGACTTCCATTCTAAAAGCTGTACACCAATAATGATCAATGATTTCTTGGCTGGTCTCAAAAAATTAAGTGCAACACGCTGAAATGACCACCTTCTCTGTTAACGAAAAAAACCTTTACGTACTGTGTCTTCAAAACGATCATTGAGGAGTTGATCTTGATTTTACAATGTACGCGGGCATGTATAAAGTCTAACACATGCAAAAATTAGAATTCGCATAAGACAAAGCACTGACCATTTGAAAGTTCAAACTCCTGTCACGATAACGAAGTAGCATTAGGGGTAGGTGATTAGTATCCATCTGACGTTAGTTACAAACATTTGAAGCCGCGTAATCTAACTGCATGAAAAACACATGCTTCAGTTTGTACAAACCTGATACTGCCGGCTCTGTCCGCTTCAAACCTAGACTAGAACGCGCATCCACGACTTCAACCGTTCCATCTTTGAGCGTACAGATGAAGCAGTTTGATGTAGGTGAAAAAGTCACAGAAGTTGGACGGCCACTGAACTGGAGGCAGCCTTCTTCCTCAAAATACCACTCCTCCTCGGCCGCCATATTTTAGCTTCGACATGGTTTCAGGGTACTTAGCGGCCAGGCCAGCTCATATCTTCAGGCCTTCATAAGATATAGGTCTGGCTAGCGTACATACGTATTGGTACACAGACAAGCCGATCTTAGTCGTGAAAAAAAAAAAAGAACAGTGGACCTGATCGTGTTCGTGTTTCAAAGGTAAAGATCAGAGGGTTTTTCTTTCTTATGATAATGAACTAATTAGCCGTTGTCACAAGTGTGATCGGAAGGGACGTTCAAATGACGATAGAAATGATAACAATCATAAGTAATAATAATAATAATAATAATAATGATAACAACTTTATTGACGTGTCTTACGTTCTAGTTTCTTTATCAACGACTACTGCGAAGAAGCCCTTATTGATAAGCGACTATCTTGTGAAAGCCATGAGGCGTAAAGCTGGCTTGGCCGCTAAGTTAATCGAGTTTCTCGTCACCAGTCTTCCCTATGAACATCAAGCAAACCAAATGCGGCTCAGAAGACGAGCGTTTGGCGAAAGATATCAGAAAATGTTCGGACATTTAGGATAAATCGGGCAGAGATTTAAGATAAAAGCACAAAGAGACGTACGTGGAAAATTGTTGTGGTCTTGTCATTCATACAAAAAGGGGTTAAGTTTCTAAAGAAACGGTGGTGCTGCGTTAGTGGAAGAGTATAACAGGGTAATTAAGTATTATCAAATGAGTTGATAACGTAAATTGGCCACCGTAAAGAGTTTAAAAGCTGATATTTCGAGCGTTAACCCTAAGTCAGAGTGATTTGACTCGCCACTTGAGAAAATGACACTGAAACCTGGCCAAATTTATGAATATACGTAGTATAAGAGTCAAATGAACTAACTGAACATAACGGTGTAATTTTTCATCACTTTATTCAACTTTCATAAGGTTGACTGAGGACTCTGAATAACTACATCAGCGTTAGATTCGCGCTATCAAGGCTCTTCTGAATGCAACCATAATCTCGTGATAAAAACTATTCGGACTCCGAGCTTGAAGCTTTCAGGACACGCGACATGACCTACGCGTGATCCGTCGGCGGTTGTGATCTTGTCGAACGGCAGTAACGGTTCTGAGTTGTGAGTAAAAAGACACGTTATTAATGAAGTCAGCTATTTTTCAATATTAAATTATTAAGTTAAATATCCAATTAATTTCAAACTGCCGGTTTTGTAGACGAAAATCAGCGAAAATGTAGATAAACTGAGCATTTTTGGAATTCTGGAGAATATTTTGAGACTCTCCACTTACATCAAATTCACTTTCACTCTTCTCTTTAACCACTCTGCCTCTGAATGACTGATCGAAAATTACTCCCTCTCTCTCTATCATTCTCATTGACTAAAAACTTTCAAGTACATGCCTTTATATTCTCCATCGGTAGGCATGTTAGTCAACTGCCGGCTGATCCTGGAAAATTAAACATTTGCCTTCGTCAGAACACTGACCCAACCTCTTTAACAAGAATCTCTCATATGAACAACAGCGAACAAAATGCTTCCGATCAATAGAAAAAAATACTTGACTGCGTAAGCCAAAACAAGAACTCGTGTGGGTCCAAGGCAAGGTCAGTAGACAAACCCTTATAGAAGTTAGACAAGACAGTCAAAATTAGTAATCTCATCGTGACAGCTTAAACCCAAATAACTTCGGACTTTGAACTCAAATAGTGACTAAATGTTAGAAATAAACAACGCTAAATCAGACTTAACTAACTAAATACTTCATAACGCAATCATTAGAAATGTTGTAATTTAAAAATACAAATTATGTATAGGACAAAAATGTTTGATGATTGTTTTCATCATCATTTGAATGACATTGAGGCTATCGAGTTGCCTGTCACATTTATAGATAAAGGCTTATATCGGTCATTTAGCAGGTGGTGTAAGACCACTAAGGGAAACTTATAAATGATTTATCAGAATTACAGACAGGTATACCGAGCATTTTGCCTTATGCCGATTGCCTTCCTTGTTGTGCGGAGATGCGTCAAGTCGATCAAAATCAATCTCTGAGTCTCTGGACTTTTTCCAAAACTCAGTTTGACTGGGAAGCAACTCATTGCAGACGAAGAGCGCTCATCCAGTCAAGATCAAATATAAATTCTCCAGTGATGATAAAAAGAAGAAAGCTTCCTTATCAACCAATCAGCATCCTATAGATTTAACCCGTATATAATAACCGATGCTACTCGCTTTGTGGAAGTTATAACGGTGTCTAAATGAATGAAGGGCAAAGAATAGTTATCGTTTCGGTACGGAACATTTTGAAGCCTTTCAGAAAAGAAAATAAATCTGTTATACTCCTCATTAAGATTTCGTGGCACGTATACTTGTTCTGGGGTTTGTAAATGACCTCTTTTTGTAATCTGATCTGTTTGCTATTCTCAGGAAATATATTAATATATTTGCGAAATATCTACTTTTTCTTTGAAGCAAAAGCGGCAAAGAGCGTAGACTCAGTGTTATTAATGAAAGCTTGGTTTTGGATTCTTGGCTGGTCTCTTTCCATTCTGACCATAACTGGGAATGGATTTATTATCTTTCTTGTTTGGTGCAAGCGACAGCTTCGCACTAAGACCAACACGTTTGTTGTTTCACTTGCAGTGGCGGACTTCTGTGTTGGGATGAGCGCAGTACCCTTGATGTTTGCGTGCGAAGCTGTAACTGCCTGCAGTGATTCACCTATTTTTCGGGCTGTAAAGGCGTCAAAGTTTCTGTTTCCGTACGCATCTGTAACAAACCTCTGCATTTTAGTCCTGGATCGCTACATTGCTGTTGTGAAACCTTTGAAATACTTGACTTTTATGTCACGTCGCCGAGTCATTCAAATGGTTTCCGTATCCTGGGCGATTCCTTTCGCCCTGGGCATTGGTTCGGCTCTTAGCAGTGTTGGTTTTAAATCATTTGCCTCTACGATGTTCACTTGTGTTCTTTTGTTATTAGAGTTTTTACCAAGTTTGATTTTAATATTTTGCTTAGTATCCATGTTACAGGTTGTATTTAAACATAATCGAGCCGCTCGCGTTTTAGCAAAACAGTTACGCTTTAACCATCAGGTTTTCTTCAAAACTCAGGAAAAGTCTGCCATTTTAATGATGGGGATTGTAATAAGTTTGTTTCTTGTGTGTTACGGGATTTTTCTACGCTGTTCCTTAATTTATGTTTTCGATGTTCAATCATTATGTAATGATACTGACTACAAAATCCCTATTTTAGTATTAAACTCTGCCATCAACCCTTTTGCGTATTCGTTTTTCAAGAGAGACATTAACAAAGAGTTAAAGGGACGAATTTGTTGTGCCACATCGCCACAGTGGAACAGGATCCATCCTTTTAAAGAGAGAAGTTTTTCACTGGCCCCAGTTAAGAGATCAAGTTGAGTGATTAGCCATCAGAACGATTGCGTTTTTATAGAAGGAAAAGAAACTTAGTTGTTCGGGACATTCTAACTATAACTTTAGACCAGAAGTAAAAGGCTTTATCAAAAATGTTTGATGGTTGATTTTATATGTTTAAATGTCAAGAAAGCTATCAAGTTGCCTGTCACCCACACCAGGTCAATTTAATAAACTGAGTAAAAGCCTCTAATAGCTTTATGTCACTCAGCCTGCCAATGGAACAGGTGGTGCGAGGAGCACTTTGGGAAATCGATTAATTATTCATCAGGATACATGACTGTAATTATATGAAAATTATATGTGTACGCTGCGGTTGAAGAAACGAATATAGGAGCGATCTTCGCAGTTATGAATACTACTGAACTTATAGTGAAAATGAGGCCTGAAAAAATTCAGGCCCGTACGGGATTTAAACCCATAACCTCTGCGATACCAGTGCAGCGCTCTACCAACTGAATTAACAAGCTAACTAGGAGCTGGTCATTGTGTTGGTTACAAATAAACTCTCCAAGTGGTAAATAAATGACTATAAATATATGAAAATCGTATATTCATCAAGAATTAAGACGTGCATACGATATTCGACAATTTATGAAGTAACTGAAATACTTGGAGCGCCCTCGTTGGTCAAAAATCTATCTTTCATTGCACCAGTAAACCCACTGAAAGTTAAATTTATTTCATAAAACAATATCGGTTTCCTGGCGTAATAACCCACGCTTTAAGCGGTGTTCTTACATGGCTCTTCAATAGAGATATCAGTCCCTGCAGAAAGTATTCTTGTCTAAGTGACCATAATTTTAAAAATTTCTAAAAATTTAGGTTATTAAACTTATCAGAATCAGCAAGATCGTTCAGTCAAAGTTTCACAGACTTGAAACGCTTCAGCCAAGTTAGTCCTTCTCCATTCTTGGCTCGGTCAAGCCCGGATGCTATCGAGAGCCGTGACGTCAGCGAGAGAATTTCACTTATTCCCTTCCAGCCCTCGCACAGACATTGGCGTACCATGAGGTACAGGAGACCAACGATCCAATTAGTAATTCTTTCTACCAACTTCCAGTCATTTCCTTGTACATTGGACAAGAGAATTTGGTTTTACACCTTCTAACTTGTCTGTTCTTTTAACCTGTTTGCAAGAAACGTATTGGTATCGTATGGAGATGTTGCATATGAATTCTGTTTGGGAGGTAGAGGGATTTAGTGAAGATTAGGAGAATAAATTGATCAAATTCGTCGCGTCCTAAAGCGTTTTCTTTCGCAAAAGTTAACTTCCTTATGGCTAAATTTTATGTGACCCTTTGTGTGGACCCTAATGCTGTTAAATTTAGGGGAAAAGAGTGAAAAACGGCTTTGATAGTTTAAAAATTTCCTCAACAATTATTTCTTATTGTCAAGGCCTATTGTTTCGAAACAACTTCTAATAGAGCAATGTATAAAACTGTCAAAGTTTGCAGTAATGTTTTATGAAACTAATAAACATCTTCGCCTCGCACGCACAGTGAACATTATGCAAAAGCAAGTAAAGTTTTAAACAGCTGCCACTGGCTTATTGTTCAGACTTCGTGAAACTAACAAC